CTGCACCTCAATGCTGTTTACCCCGCTGTCCCCGGGTGGTCATTTGTTTCAAAGCCTCCCGGTAGCACGTTCGGGCTATGGCAGGATCTGTTCGGGCCACTCCTACACCAGTGTCAGTTGGGAATTTGATGCATGAGTGTCGAACAGAGGCAATTGCCTCCAAATCTTCTAGCCCCGGACGGCCCAATATGGCGTTGTGGGCACATGCAATATCCACCACCACAAACGTCATCCGGACTGCCGCTCGGTGAATTTCATCACCAATTTCCACCAGAAGCTGGATGGTGCCCTCAGCCTCTATTACATTGCCGGTGAAGCTAGCCAGCGGCGTCTTCAGCTTGGTCAGCTGGTCCTTCTTCAGCTTCATCTTCTCCAACGTGCGTAAATACAGCACGTTCACACTACTTCCCGTGTCCACCAGAACTCGGTGGATCAAGGCGTTGTCTATACACATACTCACCACTAGCTCGTCCCTGTGCGGACTTGGTGAGTTGGGTAAATCAGCCACCCCGAACGTAATTGGCTCCAAGCGGCCCTTCTTTGTGGGAGGTGCAGCTACAGTGGCGACATAGAGGCTGCGCTCAAATTTCTTACGTTCGGCGGCCGTATCCCCGGTCTCTCCTCCACCAAAGATGACTTTCACCTCCAATCGTGGCTTTTTTCCCGGATTCCCAGACCCCTCAGCCTCCTCTATAGGGGGAAGGTATGAATCATTACTGGGTTCTGCATCCCGCTGGACATCCCGCTTCCAGCTATTGGATCGGGGAGGGCGCTGGTTGGGGGAAGGGCTGTTCAGGTTGGTGCTGACATACTTCCTCAGGTAGCCCTTTTGGATCAGGTCCTCAATTGCCACATGTAGGGCGTGACAATCCTTTGTGAAGTGTCCATTCCGTTGGTGGTATCTACAATAGGCATTCGGGGTAGGTCCCATCACGGGCCTTGTGTCAGTAGGGGGAGGAATAGCATTGTGTTCCAAATGAAAAACACCGGCTATAGACATGACCAGGGGGTGAAGCGCGCAGTCCTTCGATGAGGTGCTGTCGCTGCCGGTGCGGGTCCCAGACGTTCTGCCAGCCTTGAAGTGGGAGGTTGCGGGGCCGTTCGGTCCCTTATCCTGATCTCCTCTTCCAGGGCCGCATGGTTCCTGGCCCTTTCCAGGATGTCTGGGTAGCTGGTCCCCGGATTTCTCTTCAGCTACCTGTATAAATCTCCCGTCTGAAGGGCATCGGTGAAAAGAAGGGTGGCAGTCTCATCTGTCATGCCGGTCACCTTCAGGGTTTCGGTCCTCCACCTGGTGAGGAAACCGGCGATTGATTCTTTAGGCCCTTGCCTCACACTGGTCAGATACCCGAAATGTAATTTCGGGGTTGTGCTGGAGGCGAACTGAGCTAAGAATAAGGTGGATAGCTCCGCAAAGCTCCCGATCGACCCGGATTGTAATGTTCCGAACCATTCCTGGGCTGGTCCCCGAAGGGTGCTAAAGAACAGCCTGCATATCGCCGCGTCGGTGGCCCCTAATAGCATGAGGCCACCCTGGTAACTCCTCAGGTGTACGTGGGGATCTCCCACCCCATCGTATGTTAAGCCTGCCGAGGGACGGCAGTCCCTTAGAATCTCGGCGTTCATGATCTCCCTGGTAAAGGGGGAAGTAATCCCAACCCGTGCTGGCGGGGTTTGTTGGGGCGTCCGATTGACCTGCTCTCTGAGCTCCGTCATCTGTCTTCTCATTTCGGCCATTTCGTCGTCTTGGGCCGTTCGGGGAGTATGTGGTATCCTAGCATCCACATATTCCGGTATTCTGTTTTGGGGAGGGGCAGCTGTGTTAGCTCTCCTCCGGATGAAGCGTTCCCCATCCCTCTGGATATACTGGAAGTGTTGTCTAACGGGGTCTACCACGGGGGTAGGATCCCTATATCCGTTTCGAGGTGCGGACGGGGTTAGGCTGGCTGGGGCTGGCTGTGCATGCCCGTAAGGGTGGGTCCTCCTGCGGTTTCCTCGATGCTCCTGGGAATGTGCTGAGGCCGTGGTGGTCTCAGTGTCTTCTCTTTCGTCAAAGGATGTCATAGGATGAATGGGGGATAGGGGCTCATGTGTCTCGTCGGTGTATCCCTGTTCATGTTCATCCGCCATGCGTTGCATGGCCTCTGCCATCTCCCTCATCAACTGAGGGTTCATCCTTACGTCCCGAGGGATGATTTGCTCGAACTCCCGGGTGGCACTGCCACTGGCTTGTCCTTGCATGGACCACCCTTCAGAGGATCTATTGCCTCCTCGGCCTCTGGATGTAGAACTCGGTGTAGCGGTAGTAAGCCTAGCCATTTCAAGAAAAATGGTGCTTAGATCAGCGGTTTTCCCTGGACTTTTAGTTTCGTTTCCCACAGACGGCGCCAATGTTGAGGTTTATTCCCGAAGATCCGAAAGCCCAACACAAGCCTTGGATATTGTAGGGATATTGGGTTGGATTGAAATGTGTATAAAATATAAAATAGTGAGACAATATTCAACTCAAGAACTTACTTATATTCTGTAATTAAGCAATTACACTGAAACTACCCGAACGGTAGATGAATATGAGATTACAAGGATGGGAGATGTAAATCTATTGCTAAGCTCTGAGTCTTAAAATGCTAACCCTTTACAATGATTTAAACTGGGGTATTTATACTATAATGGGGATGGGTAAGGTGGATACGTGGCCGAATCTGGTAGGCTATCACCCCTGCCATGTAAGCACTCATGCCCCCACTTGCAGCTGTCATGATCCAGCATTAAATGCGGCCTCCACTTGCTGACCGCCCGTTCGGGCAAGGTGTTCGGTGTGTGGGACCCCGCCATAAGTGATAATTTCTACCCGAAGTATCCCGAACGCCGATCGACATTTGGGCCTTGATACTTTGGCATAATTGTTCCCCAGAATGTTCCAAGTATAAGTTTTATCCCGAATGCCGTTCGGGAGTTCTTTGGACTTGCAGCTTCTTCCCGGATTTGGGCCTAGGGATATCGGGCCTGGACCCAATATCCCAACATAGGGCATTCGTTAATAAAACTAAAGACATCATTCTCCCTAAAACAAATTTGTAGTTTTAGAGCATCATTGACATCATCAAATAACAGTTAGCGGATTGTGTTATTGAAGACAAATCAGTATTCTAACTATTCGATTGTAGCTATTATTAAGGGGAGAAAGTTCCCGAAATAGGACTAAAACATCTTGAAAATTTCAAAATAGGACATCGATATTTTTTATTCCCAAAATAGGAGTAATTAATGCCATGTTTGGAAAATACTGCCATGTTTGAAGTTTGGTACTGCCAAAACATGATAATAATTAGTCTTATTTTGGGATAAATACATGTTAGTCCTATTTTAGAATTTTTAAACTTTTTAGTCCTATTTGGGTAATATTCTTATTAAACAAGTCAGGAATAATTGATAACAGTAAAAATCACAATAATTTTTAGAGTACACGTCAAGCTACACACTTGCAGTTCGTATACCGTGGTATCACCCCACGGTGATCACCGTGCTCCCACATCTAAAACGACGTAGTTTTGTACAATTAAAAAAAATCGCGTAAACAGTACACGCGTGAACAGTAACTTTTTTTGTCCCAGTAGTATGAACGGTGTAACTCGCGTATAAAGATATGTAACTCACGTTATTGATCAATGTAACTCAAGTCCATTCGAAATGTAACTTATCAAATACATAGTATAAGAAATAAAACATTGATTTCAATGTAAACAATGAAAAAGAGAGTTTAATTGCACGATTACTTTATGTAAACCGTGAATATGTTTGGGTTTTAATATTATGAAGGATTTAAAAAATCATTTTTTTGTTTGAATACCAGGGGTTGTTTTTTTGGAAGTCGTGTTATTACAAATGTAACTCGCGCTTCAGAAGATGTAACTCGCTTCTAAAAAGATATAACTCTTACACATAAAATGTAACTCACGTATAAGTTTGATGTAACTTGCTGAAGAAAGTTGACATGTAATTCATTTTTATAGATATGTAACTTGAGATAAAAATAATTGTAAATTGTGTTATTTGAAATGTTAGTTTAGCAATAAGATATACTTGGTACAAAGTAAGCCCTACACCCTCTTCATCTCTTCTAGCCGCTAAAGATATACGGAGTAGGCTACACCTACACCAATACACCAACTTTATCTTGTGGATATTGAAGGTTATAAAATTGAAAGTCGTCAAATTGGGCAAATCAGCCAAATCCATGATGTTTATCAAATTGAAGGGTGATAAATGGGCCAAATCGACCTTTCACCAGTGGCCAACAACGCGAATCAGTCCGTCTTTGATATCTCTATCCCCGGCTGAAGTCCGTCCAGATGGGCACCAACGCGACCAGACCTTTTCTTTAACAAGTCCGTCCAGAGCAGCAAGCTATGTCGTCTCTGCAGTGTGACTTCGTCGTTGAGGAGCTTCAATCCAGATGAGCGGCAACTCCCGATAGCTCCCTTATTCATCCCTTGCCGCTACTATGGAGTCTTTAGTTTTTTAATAAACAAAACTACGCCATTTTTGGGATCGGTACACCATGTGGATGGTGTGCCGGTCCCACAGTATAATTTGCGACCCACTTGTTATTTTTTGTGTGCATGGACAATTATATTTCATTTTTATAAAGGAAATTATTTGTGATCTTAAAAAATACTCCCTTCGTATCACGTATATCTTCTCACTTCCAAAGTGGGTGAGATTAAGAATAGTGAAATGAGGTATGAATTATTGAATGTATGATGGGAAGATGATGAAATAATGTGATGGAATGCAGGATAAATCTAAAAAAAAGTAAGTGTAGTAGTGTATTATTTTTTAAATTATTAAGGGTATGATTGGAAGATTTAGAAATGAGAAGATATAAATGTTACGTCCAAAAAAGGAAAGTGGAAAGATATGAATGTTACGGAGGGAGTACGGAGTAAGAAATGTCATTTTTCCAAAGTTAGATGACCGCATACATCTGAACTAGCCGACCAACTGTCAGCTTGTCTGGACCAACCGACCAACACTCTCTGCGCAGCAGGAAAAGGACACGCGCTGCTTAATTATCTCAGTCCATTTACGCAAAGATTCCAAGGAGAAAGGTATCATTTATTCATTTCCAGTAGTCCAGTTCGGTAAACTGCGAAAGAAATAAAGAATAAAGCAAAAGAGAAACCCCCCGTGTTAGTTTATCAGAGATTCCACCCTTTCGACTTCATAGTTCAGATTTATAATAGTATATGTGCTTTTTGTATATAGATTTACACATCGTAGCTTCTAAGGCAAGGGATAATTTCCTATATTAATAACATTTTGAAAGTATATTTCAAGTATTAAGGATTCGGACACGCGCATTTTGTTGATGTATTGCTGATCATTCACTGTCTGCTGGGTGTCTGCTTCAATTCTGCTACAGGTTCGCAATTTTGATCGATATACCTCTTCAAAACAATTGTTTTCCTGGCATCCTTGAAAAAAATGTCTTGCATATTATTTTAACCGGATGCTGCTAAAAGCTTAGACCTTAGTAGCAGTGACATCAGAAAAGAAGCATATTAAGTTCATGATGATCCTGGGATATGTTTCTGAAGAATATGCATTGATCTTGCACCCAATAAAGCATTCTCTTCAGAATACGATGTGAAAGAATGGTTCTTTTCTTGACACTTTTGGAAGAAGGTTTGCTGCTTCTAGAGGAGCTAGCTAGGGACAAGCACTGTTCTTGTCTATCAAGAGTCATCCGATCTGGAATCGAACTGTCTTAATGCGTTAGATGAGGCCAGGCATGAAAGGCGGGGTCGAGATTTTAAGGATTTGTAAGATCTATACCGCCAGATCTTAGATAGGACGGTTCTGGAGAGACAAACACCATGGTTGTCTCTCCAACCAAATCCTCCATGCCTTTAAAGTTTCAAAATTTGTCATCCTGGCCAGTTTTGAAGTTTTCTTTGTTTCTCTGGGCTGTTAAGCATTTACTTTGACTATTTTGACTTGACAAGTTAAACTGAAGTTCATGCATTCTTGTGTCTCAATCCCTCTATAGGATTCTCAGTTGCTTAAAACTTGAAAAGAAAGTTTAGTTCCTTCAAGTGTTTTTAATTAAGGCAGACGAAATCAAAGACATCACCCAAGTAAGATATGTAATGGGAAACGGGGGTCTCTATGAATGGTATTGATAAATTATTGAACTTTAGTATTACAAATGTTCCTTCCGTAGTTCTGTTATCATCACCATCCATTTCTAAGCAAGAATGCAAGATCACAACCTATCAATTGTAGTTAATAAACGTCAAAGAAGAAATACATACATACAGAGTTACAGACGGATTATGTAATATATATATACATATATATATATACACACACACATACATAGAGAGAACTGATCAGGTCAGGCGCGTCGTTCAGACTTGCTCGTTTGAGGGTCTTCCAGGTGGACTTTTTTGATGAATTTTTTTGAGCACATTCCTCATCAAGTCTAGTTTATGCATACCAAATTTCAGCTCAAAATGCAATCAGAAAGGCAGTTAAATAAATTTTTGAAACATACTGCACATTATGTACATTTCAAGAATTTATTTAACTGCCTTCCCGGTTGAATTTTGAGCTGAAATTGGGTGTGCATAAACTAGAATTGATGAGGAACATACTAAAAAAATTATCAAAAATTCCACTACCCTCAAACGGGCAAGTCCGCACGGCGGGTCTGGTCAAGCGCGCCTGACGAGATCAGTTCTCTCTCTCTATATATATAATTATATATATGGAATTTCACACCATTTATATTTTGCTTTTTGCTTCAGATTTTAGTATGAGGTGTGTCCAGATTTTTGAAAGTATGGTGATATAATTAATGTTTTAAGTATTGGCACTTTAAAATGACAAAAAGGAGACGGTTATTGGGTTTCTAAGTGTTATTCTTCGAACCATTTGACAGGGTTCTTCACTCATGCTAATTGTCAATTAAATATTGGGGAAGAAATATGGCAACAGAGCTGGTAAACTCAGCTACAAGTGAGAAACTCAATGAAACAGATTGGATGAAAAACATTGAGATTTGTGAATTAGTTGCCCGTGATCATAGGTAGTGCCACATATCAGCCATTTGTCACTTTTTTGGATCTGTTTCATCCTATTATTGTTATGCAGGTTTTAATTTAAGTCTTATGCTTATATATATGTGTGTGTGTTTACTCTGCAAACATAACGTTTCTTGTTTTCAGTTCCTTCCAAATAGTTGTTTTTTTCATCTCCTTATTTTACGCACTTTTGTTTTTAGTCCCTTGTTGACTACCGAGATTCATGTCTTGCTTTTTTCATATAATTTCATTTTTCAGAATACAAAATTTATTTCCAGAGAGCCATGGAGACCTATATTAAAAATGTGAATGATTAGATAGACTTTGACGTGTAAATTTTAGAGTGGAATTGTGCAAGTGACATAAAAAGAAAATAACATGAATTGTAATGATGAAAAATAAATTAAAATAAAAACTGTAGGGACCTAAAACAAAAAATATTATGTTTAGTGGGACTGAAAATATATTTGAGACTTATTTTGATTTGAATACATGTATTATGAAGAAACTATGCTTCTTAATGGCCACTTTAACCTTTAATTTGTGCATTATCAGCTCAGGAATTCACAATATTCAAAACAATCACATTTGTTCTGTTCTTAATTACTATAAATATTCAGAGTCACTAATCTGGTCGCCAAGCATAACTATACTCCCCATATAAAGCCTCAAATGTTTTACTTCAATTCTGTTCAGTGTTAAGCACATTAGTGTTAAGTGTATCACATTTTTTAAGTGCCTATTATTTGCCTCTGTAAAGTAGCACCAATTTTTGTGACAGTTGATGAACTCCTTAAATTATATAATGCATTAAGTTTCCGTCGAAATGATTTATGGGTAGTCTAATGTAAGACGTTCAATCTGATCATTTCTTCAGTTATACATAGATATAAAACTTATTGTGCTTTTATGTTTATCAGCCAAGCTAAAGAAGTTATTAAAGCTATAAAGAAGCGTTTGGGAAGTAAAAATTCCACAACTCAGATATTTGCAGTTACAGTAAGTGACTTCCACTTTTTCGAAATTGATATTTCATTTCACAGGCTATACTTTATTGTCGCCATTACTTAGTTTGGTAACACTTGCTCAGTAGTTATATTGATCTGCAAAGAGTATTTGGGATCTGTAAATTTTGCAGTTGCTGGAAATGCTATTGAACAATATTGGAGATCCTGTTCATAAGCAGGTCATAGATACCAGAATCCTCCCAATGCTTGTACTGATAGTAAAGAAAAAGGTTTATATCTCATAACTGCAATTCACACTTGGTCAACATTTTAATGTATATTAATTAGTTGTTTACTTTCTTCTAGTCAGATATAGCTATACAAGAGAAAATATATCATCTTCTGGATGCTGCACAGACATCTGTTGGTGGGATTTCTGGGAGGTACCCTCAGTACTATTCTGCTTACCATGAGTTAGTGGTAGGTACCACACAGTAATCGTCATTTCCCCCTTTTATTTTTATTCTTCTTCATAGGTTAATTGTCATAGTTGTGGCGGTTAAGTCATCTTAAATCTATCAAATACAAAACGACAAATGTATCCATAAAACTTTGGGCTAGTCATTCTTAAAAGTGAGTTCATTACAAGCAATTATGCACCAGCACTACGCTTGTGTTTTTCATTGATTATGGAGTTTAAGACAAAATACCATGTAAATGATTAATTGATGGGTAAACTAAGTTGTTTGAAGGTTTAAGTTGAAATACATAATTTAAGAGAGAAAGTCGAAGAAAAATCATCAAGTTTCTTTTCTTTCTTGACTTTGAGATGGGATTCCAACAAATAAAAATGGCTGAAAGATATTAAACCCCTTGGGATTAAATATGTTGTAACATACGGAAGGAGAGTCTAAAGACAATTGTGTGTTTATTTAAGGATTAAAGTGCCTATACACATAGAAAAGATGTTAATAAATGAAATAAAATTCCTAATGAATTCTACAGTATAGAAGAATAATTTTCACATGCTGAAACGCTTCAGAACATTATTGATGCATGCTACAATATAATATTATGGAAAGGTAGAGCAATCAAGTAGAATAATGAGTAATAGCTGATTGGTTTGCTTGATTGATTTTATTATGATTTGATATTTTATTAGCATAGCAAAGCTCCCTTTTCTATGAGGGATTACATGCATATGAATGCAGAGAACAAGGAAAGGGAAATCCAACAAAATCATTTCCTAAGATAGATTAAATCATGAAGGTATTAAAATCAAATCATAATAATAAAACCTAAAATAATAGTGGCATTTATCAATATTCTTCATTTGCAGAATAATAAAAAGTTCTGAAAAGGACATCTCACTTGACATTATTTTCAGTCCCTCACAATCAATCTCTGTTTATTAACGTGACTCGCCGATCTCAAGGTGGCCTATCCACTTAATTTTTATGTATGATTAATATTTAATTCTACATCATTCCATCATTTTTAACTTATGGGTGACTGTATTTTAAGCATCTCTGGCTGGCTGAAGTCTGTTTTAAATGTAAGGGTCACAGAGAGGAATGAAAATAAAGTGGGGTTAATTACAAGGATCTAAAAACAAAAGCCTTATATTTGTCGATACAAAAAACATATTCACTATTGAAATTTATGATGGCTGCAGAGTGTGGGCGCCAATATAATCATGAAATTTTTCAGAGTGCAGGAGTGCAGTTTGGTCAACGACCTCGTGTGATTCCAAAAGAGCCTTCATTATCTTCCAATGAGAGTAAGAACAATAACCCTGGTGGCAGTGAGCTGGCCTCTTCTCAAAGTCAAAAGAAATCACCACAACCAGAGACTAAAAATGATTCAGGTTCTAGGTATAGTTATTTGTCCTTTTGGCTAATTGGAAACAATGCCAAGTATTTAAACATGACTATTCATCTTGTTAGGAAGCTATTAGAGTCCCATGTGGAAATATTAAAGAGAGGAAAATGAGTTCATAAGACCTTGGGTTGAACTAACTAAGTGATTGGACTCAATCTTTAAGTGGGGTTTGAGTCAAGTGGATTATGGCTCTGTCGGATAACCCCGAAGACATCTGCCTTAAAAATATGACTTTCTCATCAAACATTGGGCTCGTTTGGTTTTTGGCGGTCCAAATCCTAATCCTAATATGGCGTTTTGGCTGAAACGTCAATACGCAAACATAGCCATTGTCACAGCCGCTTTGAAGCCCCAGCTGTTTTTCTGTAGTTTTTTCCCTTTCCGGAAACAGTCTCTCTGTTCTCTAGTACAGGGGTATGACTGCGTACATCCAACTACCGTAGGTGGGAAGTCTTTGCGGTACTGGGGTAATGTTGTTGTTGTTTCACATTTGAGGGGAAGGACTGAAACTTTAGTCTAATTATTACACAGAATAGTTAACTCTTAGGCTGACACAGTTGGACTAAAAGGCTCTTTACAACATTTATGAAAATTTACAGTGTGCTACAAAAAGCCAATGCTGCACTTGAAATCTTAAGGGATGTCATGGATGCTGTTGACCCTCAACTTCCTGAGGTATGGTAGTGGCAGGGTATTCTACCTATTCCTTTGATTAACTTATTAACATCATGATATACTATGTCTTACTGTGTGCCTCTAGCAGTCATAAGAGTTTGCACTTTTTATTTTCGTTTGGACATGCTCCTGGATTGAACTTTGCTGTCTGATTTGGTATTTTAAGTTTGGTCTGGTTATTTAAGTCTGGGTTTGGCCAGTTTAAGTCAGGGCAGCTTAGGATGACTACCTTAAAAAGTCATGTCTTTTCTTTTAGGGAGGAAAGGATGAGTTCACACTTGATCTTGTGGAACAATGTTCATTTCAGAAGCAAAGGGTTATGCATCTTGCAATGACTTGTGGGTAATAACATATCTCTTATACCTAAAAAAACTCCACTATGACTTGTATTCTAGTGAAGAGTATAGCAGTTGTTATTGTTGTGCTAATTAGATATAGAAATGTTTTTATCTACAGAGATGGTGATGTAGTTTCTAAAGCTATTGAGGTGAATGAGCAGCTTGATAGAGTTCTTTCACGGCATGATGCCCTTGTTTCTGGTAGGTCTATATCAATGCCTAATCCTGCTGGTAATGAACAACCAGAGGATGAGGAGGAGGCTGAACAGCTTTATCGGAGGTATGCTTTTAAATCTGCTACAAAGGTGCACACTGACTTCATCCCGCTAACATCTCCTTAAATATGTTTCTTTTTTACATGCTAGAAGAAAAGACAAATGAGAGTAAATAATTGTGCATCTTAGATACTGTATTATAGACATGGGAAATCATATGTGACCGTTTGTCGATTATTGTTTGGCTAGGAATTACTAAATTGACTGATTTAGCTAAAATTATGTCTTAAATAGGCAGGGTTATCTTTAAATATACTGCAAATGGCATAATATCTTCTTTGGTGTCTCCATCTCAATTGTTTCGCCAAAAACAAATAAAATACTGTTCTACTTTTCAATTTGTATTAGGAAAAATGGAAACTAATAATCCAACCTTTAGCGGTCTTCTTTCAATAATCCCACCTTTTGATTATTCATGAATAATCCAACCTTTGCACCTCATCTTCATTCACTGGTCCCTGACCGGTTGATGACCTGCTATTCCAAGTTATTTTCTTATCTTTGCAAAATATTATCTTTGTGAAAGATGAGATTTATGGTATAATGATTTGCAAAGATAAGAAAATATCTTGGAATAGCAGGTCATCAACCGGTCAGGGACCAGTGAATAAAGATGAGGTGCAAAAGTTGGATTATTCATGAATAACCAAAAGGTTGGATTATTGTAAGAAGACCGCTAAAATGTTGGATTATTAGTTTCCATTTCAGATAAGTAGAATTCTAAATGTTAGTGTTTGGTTGGAAATGAGTTGATAAGGGAAAAAATAGGTACCATTCAGTTTCATTTCCGGGGCTAAAAATCTACATGCAATTGCATATTTATAGACTATTGCAGGAGAGGTAGTACATTTTGTATTTAGATGACGTGTGACAAATGGGTAGACACCTTCCCTTTACTCCCACATATCTCTTATGGATTATGCAATTTATAACTTGTGTTTTCATGGGGAACAATCATGGCTATGGATCTGGTTGATTCTAACTCAATAAGCTAAGTAGCACATATACGGGAAAAGAGAAACGCGAGAAATGTGATTTCTAAAATATATTCGTATAAGATACGAAACGTGGGGGAAACGTGTAAATATTAAAAAAATATAAGGATATATTTTTATATATGTAAACATGTTTTTCATTTAGTTATATGTATCGATTTTTTCATATAACTTGTTTTGTAAGGGAAAAATTAGTACATTCTGCATGTTCAAATTTAGAAATCATTACACATCAGAGCATAATTAAAAATAAAATGCATTAAATTTCTAGCAATGCATTATGAAATGTCACAATGTTGCCAGGAAGAAATGCCATAACTTTCACCACATATTTTTAAAAACGCTATTTTCCATCATGGAATCCCTTAAAAATGAAAAATCAAGGTTTCCGAAACCCTACATATTTAAGGAAACAGGTTTCTCAATTCCTATTAATTATGGAAACAGCCCCGAAACGGGAATTTGAAGTTTCTGACATGCTTCGAATAGCCAATAAGAGAAATAGCCTATTTTTTTTATATTGGTTTGTTATTTCGTGATCTGTATTTAACTGGTGTAGGATAAACTCTTCACTGGTCAAGCAATTGCATTTTTCATTGAGGGAAGAAACAGTGATTTAAATATTTGGTGACAGGGGTAGGTACATTGCATCCCATTATTATACAAGCATAATTAATTATCATTTCAACTCAAAATTTACAGAATGCGAAAAGGAAAAGCACATGTACAATCTGAAGATGAAGACCGTCACATAGATCAACCGAGGGGATTGCTTGGCTCATCAGTTCCTGGAAGTAGACTTCACCGTCCGCTTATAAGGACAGAAGAGTCTTCAGACCATAAACAGGAACATGATAGGGGTAAAGCAGCAGCTGTTGCAATTCCACCGCCACCTGCCAAGCATGCCGAGAGGGAAAAATTCTTTAGGGAAAACAAATCATCAAATAGCTCTCCTACAGCTCTAACGGGGCATGTCAGGGATCTTTCCTTACACCGTCGCAATGCCAGCAGCTCCCAAACTGGCAGCGTCGATTTTAGTAACTAATAAGGGAGACAATGGGATAACTTGTTTTTAACAAACAAGTGCTTTTTACATGAACAGTATGGCTTTTGCTTGAAGAAGGGACAACAGGACAATGAAAAAGTTTTTTTTCACAAGAGTAAAAAATCAAATCACTTTTAATGCTGGTTTTAGGAAGCACCAGATTGGTGTTCTTTTGAAAAGTACTTCCAACTGTTCCAAGTGCTTAAATGAGAAATCCCCTATCATAAAATAAAAGCACTGGTACCAAAAGTTATCCCAAATAGTCTCTGTGCTCTTGTTACTTCATATGAGGATTCTTTTTATTCCCAATAGATGCTGAACCGGAATTAGATGGATTGGGAATCAAAACATCTATCCCAATTTGGAGTAAGTGCCGATTACCTAACCTTTTGTTTGTGTTCACTTTCTAAGTTTGTCTAGTGGGTTAGCGTGGTATAAATTGTAATGCTTAGTGAGTTTTACAAATGTTGTGAATGACTTGAAGATGCTCGGACTTGAAATGTTATACTAGTGATCATATTTGTGTCTGACAGAAGCGGTCTGTGTATGTGAACACTCGGTATATATGTATGTATACACATGGATTTGATTATATAAAAAAAGTGTTCTTCAAGTGAAAAATAAGAATAAATTAGGCCTTCGATTCGATAAAATGGAAGAATCGATTAAAGTTCTAAAGGCAAAATGTAGTAGCATTGTACTACGTAGTAATTAGTAAATATTGAAAACTTGTAATGGAGCCGTTATAATAAAAGTGCATTATTGGTTTAAAGAAGTGCATTTTTAAATAGTATACTTGTCAATATGTGTACAATATATGTGGATATAAAAGGCACTCATGTTAAATTAGGGGTGGACCGGTTCGGGCTTGGTTCGGGCCTGGGCCCGGTCGGGCCTCGGTTCAGGAATGGGAGGCCCGGAACCGGCCCGGCCGCCCGGGTAATCCCGGGTCCGGGCCGGGCCTCGGTTTTTTTTTTTTTTTTTTTGGCTTTTCCTAATTAACCCTCCCCCCTCACCCCCAAACCACCTCAAATGGCCCAAAATACCCAGCCCAACCCAAAAACTTAAAAAAAATTCAAAAAAAAAATTAATTTGGCCCGAACCGGGCCCGAACCGGCCGGGCCGGTTCACCAATCCTAGGGCCCGGGCCCGAACCGCATTCCTACCGGGCCGGGCCGACCTGAACCGCCCCCCGGACCGGTTCCCGGGCCGGGCCAAACAGTAATCGGGCCGGGCCGGGCCAAACAGTAATCGGGCCGGGCCGGTTCCGGGCCGGGCCGCCCGGCCCGAGTCCATCCCTAACTTAAACTTTGCACTTTCATTACTAAACGTTGCACACTTTATTTATTGTGATTATTCTCACGCTTTTTTAATAAGCAATGATCTAATACATCCGTCTTTTCAGATGAAAAGTCTATATTCCTGTTTATTTTCCATAAGGAAATCTTCTTTCATTTGAAACTTATCCATACACAAATAGCCGCTCTCTCTACAAGTAAAATACATATATACATATGTATCCATGTATATACACATACTCCATGTATATGTGTTGATGTTATTCTAAAATATTATTAAAATAAAATTTATGGACAAAAATATTACTTAAGTATATTAAGTCAATTTTTTGTTCAATATCCTTATATTGGTCATATATTAGGCGTTACTTCATACAACCCGTGTCCACAAACTAACTTCTCACTTTTCTTATTTGGATATTCCAAAATAAACTTCTCATTTTCACAAATAGTAACTTTTCAATAGAAAGTATCAAAACTATCCTTATTTTAATTAGTTTTTACTTGAGAAAGTTTACTCACTCACTTTAACTTTCCTCTCGGATCTGTCCAAGTCAAAGTGGAGAGTTCTTTCCGAGGCGAGGGTAGTGGACCTAGTGGTGGACTTGGGCCTGGTGGCCCGACCCGGAACCGGCACTGTTCCGGCCCAGCCCGAACCGGTGGCCCAGCCAGTGACCGGTCCGGGTGGGCCCGACCCGAGGGGTTTCCGGGCCGGGCTCGGGTCACCCAAAACATGAACCAGCCCGGCCGGTCCGGGTCCGGTTCCGGGCTTTTTTTTCAACTCTTTTTTTAAATCCCCGGGTTGGGCTAGGTATTTTGAGCCATTTGGGATGGTTTGGGGGTAATTAGAAAAAGGAAAAAAAAAATGTAAGATGCCCAAGGCCCGGCCCGGCCCGGACCCGGTGGCTACCCGGGCCGGTCCCGGGCCCAACATTTCCTAACCGGCAGCCCGGTCGGGCCTAGGCCCGGCCCGGGCCCGAACCGGCCCGAGTCCATCACTGGGCGAGGGATATGTATTATGTGTATATATATATATACTCTGTGTTTTGTATGTACTAGAGTGTGTATGCCATTATTTGGGTAAGTAGGGTGGACCCAAATTTTAAAATCTCAAATTTGTGCAATCCAATTTGGGAACCGGTTCTGGGAACTAGCTCAACTGGGTATGGTTCCGGTTCTTTCAAAATGGAACCGGCCTAGTCGAATCATTTTTACGATGAAATCGAAATTTTTACAATAGAATTTAATGTTTTTAAAAGATGGCAATTTTGCAAATCGGATTGAAGTAAAATTGCACTGTTGAGGAAACCAAAAGAGCTGAAATGGAGTGAAAGGTAGGTCCAGATTTCTTCATTGGAGTAGAGATTTATTACGGGAGGTTTTCCAAAATAGGAGTAATGTATCACTTGCATCCAATAGAGAAATTCACATATTTTGAAATTCACGATACTTTGCATCTATTAAGAAATCCCCCCTTTTATCGTAAAAATTGCCATTTTATGTATGTAACTTGTTTCACTTGCATAGAATTTGTCACACATGTCTGGACTTTTGCCATTTACTCATGCACATCATGTGTACAAATTGAAGTAGTTTCAAATCAATACGGAACATTTCTTCAAGAAGTCTCATGTTGCATCCGTCTCATTATTAAATTCACAATTTGACGTTTGACCTTTAATATTTGAGAATATATACTTATAAATTCTACAATAATTAATATGTTCAATAAATATTTAAAAATAAAGTATCCGCAATTTTGTAGGTGTTATCAAATAGTGTGATTTTTAAAGTAAAGCTATGACTCAAATAGTTGAACTACTAATTTAATTGTAGATCAGAGGAAGGATACTAGGCCTATTGGGGAGGCTATAACATGTGCTAGGTTTAGCATGAGCCATACGGGATGCGGAATTGTGGACTGCATTCGTATATTATTTGCGTCGGGACTTTTGATTGTGTAGTGTTTGTTGACCCTTTCTTGACTTCTGAAACCAAATTTGTTAATTCTAATATCGTATTACTCTTGAACAATTTTCTTTTGGGAAACTTTCCGAAATGGGACTAAAAAAGTTTGAAAATTCCAAAATAGGACTGTCATGTTTTTATTCCCAAAATAGGACTAATTACTGCCACATTTGAAAAATACTGCCATATTTGAAGTCTGATACTGCCAAAACATGACAGTAATTAGTCCTGTTTTGGGAATAAAAACATGGAAGTCCTATTTTGGAATTTCCAAACATTTTTAGTCCCATTTTGGGTAATATCTCTTTTCTTTTATATATCTATCCGTGAAATGATAATTCTTTGTCGATATTATAAATATATAATTTTAAAGTATAACATTCAACTATGCTTATGAGTTATGATTATGGATGTTATTAATTAGACTGAAATTCTGTAATCTTGTCTGATCTATTTTATACTAGTATATATTTTACTATTGTCTAAGTACAATCTAATATGTTCAAGTGTGCTCTAACCTAATCTGGTATGAAACGAAGTGTCCAATTAAAAACGTCATATGTCCTTCAAGGATGTAAGTTCGTTTAGTACTAAATATTATCTACTGATCTACAGTTTGTGCTACCTATTTCCTGGTAAAAATCCTGCGTTTTCTTTTGTTCTTTTAATGCACCAACCATTTGGCTAGTTTCGTAATTTTATTTTGCTCCCTACATACCCATGTGGTTGCAAATGTCAACTGCCAAATGGATTTTCGATATGACAAGTGTCAAAAGTCTAGCACACCTAACCATTAAAATCATCAAAACGATTTAAAAAATTCAAAGGACCAACAGCATAAAATAAAACTAGGCTAGAGATTTCAGAACTTCGGATAAACCTTTTTTAAGAAACTTAAAATTAAAATTAGGATAGAGTTCGGAAATGTCCATTAGCCTCATTGCAGAATGGAACAGAACCGCAGAAACTCTGAATAAAAATGCATTCATCTTTTCGATAAGAATACCTACTACCTTCACTACAAAGTACAAACCACTGCATATACCATTATTACCATCATATCTTATGTTATGAGAAATACTGTGAATCATCACAACTCGAGAAAACATGAGGGTCCTACATGTGTCTGCCCCTTGTTGGACGACAGACATGGTTTCTTTTGCGTGCATGTTCTTCGCTATGGTGCTGTGTGCGACATGCATACCCATACCAGCAGTCTTCCCTCTGTGAGTCTTCTGCTGTCATACTCTGAAAGTGCACATATTTGTAGTAGTCAACAAATAATCCAAGGCATGGTAACTTGTTGCCAGAAATGGGAACTCTACATGCCATCCATAGGTGAAAACACCATGTTTCCAAGCCAATATATGCAATACAACAACAACATCCAATCCTTAATCCCAAAAGATATTGGGGTCGGCTAACATGAAATGATACATGATATCACCACCACAAGGAAAAGAAAGAAAATAAAGATAGAAAAGATAAACTATCATAAAAAGGGTAAAATAAAAAGAGATGAATATACATAAAAATGATAACATAATATTTATATATAAGGAAAAAAGAATTAAAAAAAAAAAAGATGAGGGGAAGGATAATGAAGCAAGTTCTTGTGTTTGGAAATAGTAGAAATAAAACTTCTAATCTTTTCAGGTTTGTCAAATGTAAAAATTGTGAAACTCCACTCGCATGCCATTGAGACAGTAAATTTTTGTGCCTGTTTGGTGAGTGTACAATATGGCTCAAACTGCTGAATGGACTGAGTTCCCTATAAAAAGGTATCTCATGGAGTTTCTTTTCAGCTGTTTAGTGTCGGTATTTGAATAACTCCTCTGCACTTCGAAGATTTGTGAAGAATAAGAAATCTGTGTTTTTTTACATTCAAACTCCAAAATTATGGATATGTATGCCGCTGCTTTCACTTTGTGGTTTTTAGTAGCTACTTTATTGACTAATAAGATTTTTTACCAACGATGTCAGCAACTTAAAGCAATTTCTAGTCAAAGTCACCCTACTAAACAAGTTCTTAGTTTCTATTCTTATCCTGACGCGCTCATGTAGTGATGTGATAAGAGAGGGTGTATTTTACTTGTCTGTTAGCTACATAAAAGTCTCTACTGATCCGTGATAATTTACAATAACAAAATGAGGTTGGGTTGTTAACAAACCCAGTTTATATGTAAAAGATATGAAATTGCCCATTTTATCTATCCATAATTTTCTTGAGATGTAGTTATGATCTGCCACATCTTTATATGTGTATATATAAATGCTCCAAACCAGCCATCGGGCTCTTTACAAAACCTACCACCTCTATTAAATTGCAAAATTTCCCTTGAGGGTTGCTATGCTAGGGGTGTGTTAAGGGGGTCTGTGTAGTTAAAAGGGGTATTCTGTATTTTCAATGAGGTGTTGGTTATGCAGGTATGCTAAGACGCCCGATGGCGGGTTCTGGAGCAGGTTTTTCTCTCATATGTATGGATGCATGCATGTATGTATGTATGTATGTATGTATGTGTGTGTGTGTGTGTGAGAGAGAGAGAGGGGGGGGGATAGAGAATTGCTGGGATAAGCATCAAGAAGTAAAGAAGTCAAGAAGAATTTTAAAACACTTACATGCTTTAGTAGAGTGACCCTAAACCAGTACAACAGAAATGCAACTATCTTCTCATAGCACTCACTACAGTACAAAAAGCAACCAGCAAAATATGATATTTATTTTAATATAGATAGGTTATTCAACCTGGTCACATGCAGAGAAACTAAACCGGATGTAACCAGTTAATGCACATTACAATGTTTTGGGGTTTAGTAAGCTGACCTACAACAACATGTGCGAGAGGTTATGGTCTCGGCGTGGTTCAGCGTCATTCTTGTTCGGTCTGAAGAAAAAAACAATAAAAGAATACTAATAATATCAACACATCATTTTAAATTTTAAAGCAGGTCTATAGGGACTTAGGGAGTAAACTGAGTACAAAGATCTCTGAATAACAATCTTTCAATAAAAGATTACCCTAATAGAGATGGGCCTGAGACCATCGACAAGAAAGTATGTGCATATTACATAACCTTTTACTTTTCATTCACCCCTAAATATTCAGGAGTGTTGTGTGTTTGGTTGAGGGTAATTAGGGGGGACCGGGGGAGGAGCCAAACTTCTCACATCTCACTCCCTCAGTTTTAAGCATTCCATATGTGTTTTATTTTTCTTAGTTTTGTTTCATCTTTTTTTATTTAATCAGAATTGCTCAACGTCATTGTTATACTTACAAATGATTTCAAGCAAACACAAAGTCAATAAAGCAAGTAAATATACGCAGATGTAAAGAAAGGTGAATGTGGCATTAAAGTGATTCAGTGGATGTAGGAAGAGAGAAAAAGCATAGCCAAAATACAAATAAACATATAAGATGAAAGTTAGTCATTTTTTTAAATCATCAGAAACTTATTATTCACATCTTTCTTTATACAGGTACTAAGAGCATCAGACCAAAAAAAATACTCCCAGACCTATAGTAAGGTTCCCATCCGAAATGGGCACACGATAAATAAAATAAATTTGTGGCTCAGATTTATTTAAAATAGATAGAAAAAAGCATAAAACATGCAATTATTTCCTCAAATGGAATGCGACACTTATATTGGGACATTCTTATAAAGGAAGTGGGGATTTTCTTGTGAGATGGAGGGAATATCAAATAACTTTTTTACGTTTTGAGCAATAATATACTCCTTCCATCTCACTAAACTTTGACACCGAGGGTCTATGAAAGTTTGACTGATCATAACGTTTAATCATCTCTAACAATATTTAATTAGTGTTAATATATATGTAGTAAAACTTACATGCTTATAACTACGCTAAAAATTCTATTGACATGAAAAAAAGAAAAGTGAACTTGAATATGATAAAAATTTGATACTCAACTAGAGAACAAAAATGAACTGTGTTGACCCCATGAATAGTATACTGGTAAAGTTAGTGGAACATGAGTATTACCTATCTGCTTATTATCAAATTTCACAATCCAGTCAGAGACCACATCTTGCAATGATTTACCCATTTTCGCAATACATCTTTCAGTGATCTGTTATGGACGACATGCACAATGAAAAATATCAAGAGTGTGCCACCACACAAGAGTTGTAACTTGTACAAACACATCAACTAATTAGATTATTGAAAAACAAAGTCCTTGCCTGTTGTTCATGCAGATTATTCTCATGCGTGAAAGATGGCATTTGAGTGATTGTACGATCTTTTATCTGCAATATGATAAGCAAACAAATGAATAAATACAAAAAAAACTTAATACAAAAAGACAAACCGAGATTTGAAGCCAAAGAAAAGAGCATGCAGAAGAAAGTTGAAGAATTTGGTGGAAGTGTTATTACAGGTTTGAACGATTCAGGACTGCAAACAGGCTGCAAGTCACTTCCATTAACTCCTTGAGCATGCCAATAAGCAGCACAGAATGCTCGATCACATCCTACACCTGAAAATAGATGACAGTTCCAAATATTAACACAAGCCTGAACTCATGGAGGAATTATCATATCCTTGCAAGAAAAAGATTAGGGAGATGACCAAAAAAACGATAGAGCCATGTTATAGAAATTACTGTTCCTAAACACATTACTAGATCCAAACCCAAGACTGCTTAATGTCTTCATCAATTAATACTGATATAGAACTTCCTTTACTCTTACTCAAAACGACTGCCTTAAATGGATGAAACAAAATACAATAAAATGTAAAATAAAAAAATGTGTTCAGCACTTCAGCTTAATTATAAACTACCTCTGTCCCAAAATACTTAGCCAAATCTTAAAACTTGGATCATGGTTTCGATTAGTATAATATTATGAAAGTTATAAATTTCATACTTTTACGAAAGTACTTTTAACAAAGAACATTTTCATGTCATTTTTATATTATAAATAATTTCCAATAAATATACTTCGTCCGTTCTTAAATAAATGCAACGGTCAACATTTCACACTTGCCGAGACACAACTTTGACCATTAATATAAATGATTTTGTATTAGTAAAAAAATGAAAAAAAAAATAGATTATGAAAATTTACAATGAGACAAGTTTAACAATATTTTTTCATAAAATAATATTATTACATTAATAAATAAAACATAGTCAAAGTAGAACATGTGAATAGTGTAAAAGTCAAAGTGTTGCATTTATTTAAGAACGAAGGTAGTATATAGTTGGTCAAAGTTTGAATATGGCTAAGTATTTTGGGATGGAAGTAGTATAAAACAAGTCAAATAAGAGCTCAACGTTTTGGGTTGAAATAGTGTAAATATATTCACCACATTTTTATGGCAGAAAGTACAAAAGGTAGCTCTATGAAACTTTTAAGGATTTAATATATCAATGTACACCATTTGAATTTCAATTTTGGATACTAACCAGTTCAGATGGCATGTCCAGAAATAATATAAGCTTTTATTCAAGTCAAGCAGAGAAATATTTTTTATGCACTTCACAAGTACAAGAAAGAATGAAAACCACAATCTATAGTTACATAAAGGAAAACTGTGCGGCTATTGCATCTGATCCATCTATGCTTTTCATCAATGAAAATGGAATAAAAACAGATGATAAATGAAAGTTAGAAATTTCTAGTTCTCAAAAGTCAACAAGAATGTCAAAACATCATAATATCATATTGATGATATGGAAAAAATAATGTAAATAACTAAAAACTTTGGCAGAAAGAATGTAGCAAGCAGTATGAGTTCACAATGGAATTACAGTTTTGCGGTACACCAGCATTCAATCTCAAAGGCATCATCCCTCCACATGCTTGGCATTGTAAATGAACTGTGCTTCGGTTACATTGGAACCCCCGGATTTCAGTGCCTAAGAGTTATAACCAAACAACCAAATGTTTAAAAAAAATCGACGTTTGGTGCCTCAACTATGTGGATTCAAATAGCTATATCTCCATACAACCATAAAGGTGAACTAAAACGCAATTTTCCGTACAAATTAACTATGGAAGAGGCACGTGAAAGCAATTCTTTTAAGGAGGTGCACCCCTCAATGGCAAAAAAAAAAATCTGATTAAAAAAATCAAGAATAGAATGCTTTCAAGCATATACATGATCTGGGATCAAAACTATATAAGCAAACACACACAATAATACAAAGTAAAATGTGAATGAATTCACAGGTTTGAACAACATGGTGCAACATAAAGAACGGGTTTGGCCGTTTGGGTTTACTATACAGAATTCGGTTGCAAATGAATCACAAAACAAAATGACCCACACACCATGAAATGATCCGTTTAAGTTAATTAAGTGGATGTTTTAAGCATAAAGCCATTTAATTATAGCTTCAACTAACTAATTTAGATAATAAGTAACAAAATCAACCCTTCTAAATAAATAAATAATAATAAATCAGAGTTTTGATCTCAAATAATCCACAAGTATCTTCATCTCTTGCTCTTTATTGTTGATTCCCCTCCTGTTTGGTTAAAAAACATAGGGGAGGTGAGCTTAATTTTCTTTGTTATTCCTATTCCTTTAATGTTTTCCTTACTTCCAAGTCAGAGAACTCCCCTCCATCCCCTTCACGCTCTCCCATTCATCCCCTCAAACCAAAAGCACCTCTAATGTCCCTTTATACACCTTCAATCAATATGGCAATTTCTTTTAACTATCCCAACTTCATTTTAGACATTCAACCAAAACTCCACTCTCCAAACTGGAGTGCCTGCCTCTCAACCACATAGTACAAAACATGCCCAAAGAAACAAAGTATGTTCTCCCTTACCTTATCTTTAGTATTCACCACAAGTCTATTCGTCTACACCCGCCTTAGTGCAGATTTCCTCATCATGAACTTTACATTTTCTAGTGTTACCACACATCCTTCTTACCAAGATGCATCCCCACTGTATGCATCTTCTTCATTATCTCTTTCATAAAAGCCAATGGTTTGATCCATATAATGATATTGTTCTGATCTTCTGATGGCAGTTCTATACTCCTACAGATTTTTCTCCCCAGTCTTAGAAGTAAATTATGGTCATACAATATTGCTTTCATAGTTTCACCCATCTCTACTTTAACCAACTTGCATTACTCCATTGTGTCACATACTTACATCAGTCACATCTTAACCAATACTTCCCTTTTTGTCTAATAACAACCCCTATGTGATAAATACAAACCCTATTTGAATTCAATTTAAGCCTTCAAGTGTTATTATAGTAGAGCGGGAAATTGCACGAATGGTCGTTGTGTACTTTTGCAAATTTTATCCTATGTGACATCCAAAACTCCGAATTGACTGCATGTAATCATGTGATTATATGATGCTTGTCAGTTTTAACAACTATATGCACTAACTTATTTCATGAAATTCCGTCGTCTGATCTTATTTTGGACTCATAGTAACAAAAAAGGAATACCAAATTATTACAGTAGTCCATGCTGAGATACGACTGCCACATAGGAAAAATATGAATACAACTGTGTTATGGAACTACTGGTTTCATGCCCAACTTGACACTTGGAGCATTGTTTGGTGAATGGCAACCATTCATTACATTTTTCTTAATAACAGCCAACCAGTCCTGAGTTCATGAAATCTCTTGTTAAGTCAATCTTCATGGTGTTCTAACATAAACTGGGTTAGTAAGATAACGGAGCAGCAAGAATCAGATAATAACTAATGTTTTACTGACTCGCTTAAAAGTTTGTGGATTCACTTCAACAAGAATGTATGCTTCTTACATAGTTGCTGGACATGTTGTGTGTGTCCTATGGGTTTATATGTGTTGTATTATCTGTAAAACATTCATTGCCCTTTTAGTTAAATGGGTATTGTGTCATGTATTGTATCACATTATCACCTGTAACACAATCAGGTGATCATTTAACAAATTCTGTGTGTCATGTCATGTAACAGGTTTCTTATACAGTTCAGATATAAGTTTAAGGGTCATGGCACAGAACATACGCAAGACACACACAAAAACTACACCATTAACTGCCATTATTCTTTAAATGTGCAACGTGATGTAATGTGATGATTAAGGGAGAATCCAATTACCACATTGAAGGGTCATGTAACATGTTTCTTACACAGTTCAGATATAAGTTTAAGGGTCATGGCACAGAACAAACGCAAGACATACACAAAATCTACACCATTAACTGCCATTATTATTTAAATGTGCAACGTGATGTAATGTGATGATTAAGGGAGAATCCAATTACCACATTGAAGGCATGGAAGCCCCAATATACTGGCATCATCTGATGGAGAGTGTGCCCTCTTCTTTTTGGATTTTTTCCCACTGTTAAGAACCTGCTACTTGAGGTCAGGTTAGTAACTGATAATGAAAGAATTACGTTAATTACAAATGTTTCATTCTTGAATATGCCAATTACTTTTGTTGCCAGTGTACTATTTATTACTCCCTCCGTCCCATAAAATAGTTCCCACTAGGGTTTGGATCTGAGTTTAAGAAAGTGGGAATAGAGTGGGAATGTATGGTTGCGGTTGAGTAAGAAAAAGGTAAATGAATGGTAGCCACACAAAACTTTCCAAAAAGGGAAATGAGAACTATTTTTTGGGACGGCACAAAAAGGAAACCGGGGACTATTTTGCGGGACGGAGGGAGTATTATTTATTTAGATGACTAAACCATATGTATAACTTTAGACCTTTAGTACATATTTATTTAATGATGAATAAGTATCACTCCATACTCCATAGGAGTAAAATGAGAAGTAGGAATTGCATTCTGATTTAAATGACAAGGAATATTCAAGACACAGACAATAGTCAGTACTTACAAGTGGTGAATTTATGGAGGCATAAGACTCTATAAGTTTGATATCCTCACCAGGACGCTTCAGAGAGGGATCAGCTTGCAGTATATTCTGAAACAAGTATGGCATCCACTTTTCTTCAAAGGGAAATGAAAGAACAAGAAAGTCTAAAGGAAGCAAAATTGTGCAGTATGTATGAACAGATCAAAACATATAGCACTCCCTAGACTATTACCATTACAAACAAAAAACAATAATATAGCCAGAACTTTGACTTGAACATGCAACATATGCAAACCACTAAAAAAGATCTAACATGAATAAATGACCATCAAATGCACATTAGTGAATGGGTGAAAGAAAAATTACCTCCTCCATATTATGCAAGAAGGCGTTTTTTCCTACAAACTGAATAACGGCTCTACATTCAGGACATTTAACACTTGAACATTTCTCTTGGGATCTCCTTAGCCACTCTGAAAAGCATCCATTGCTGAAGGGTAGACATAAAGAATAAAAGATATAAGAAATAAACTCATTCAAGCTTGGATGGAATTATAGTGAATAAACAGATTGAAGTAGATACCAAAAATTATGAAGACAAGGTGCAACAGTGACAACATCATGCCATATGTTTAAACAAATGCTGCATTTTGCATGTTCTACATCAACAGAGACCTATGCAAACCAGCCAGAATTTTAAACTCAACATTGATTGCATGAGGAAAGAAGAAGAAAGGGTGCAGGCAGGTTTCTGCTGTGTCCATAATCCATATCACTAATGATATTTACCTTTAGATGTTTGCAAGGTTCCTCTGCAGGCATTACCTCAAATCTGTACTTTAAAGAGCCTAATGACAGCAAAAAGATAGAAAGATGGAAAGATGAACCATCTACAGAATTTATAAAAACTTAACTAAATTAAACAGATAAATGCCCCAAAAAGTTCATCCTTAACTGCATCCATGCCCTCGCAGTCTTTGGTATGGTCTACTAAATAAAATCTCTTTGCTTGGGTTATTTTCAGAAAACATATGATCACTGACCTTCCCGTTCTCCAAACTAAAAACTTAACATAAAAACGAGTAGGTGTGTACAATCACAAAAGTATTTGCACTTAGCAGGTAAGCATAGAAGCAGCTGACGTGAGCCTTCACACTCAAAATTCAAACAGGAACGCTAACACGCCCTAAAAAGAGTAAATGCACTCCTATAAGGAGGCCATAAAAGCAGGCTAAGTTTGCACCCAAATGCAACTTTAAAGATGATACGGCTTTTATCTTTTTGTATTAAAATAACAATTTATGATAATGTAATTTATTAAAATAATAATGTAATTATAATATCAATAATAACACATACTTAGATTCCAATAAAAAGCAGGGGAAAACATATAGATTTTTTCATGTCTGGACAAGGGGAAATCCTGATCCAAACAAACACATATCTTGACGAAGATAAATATGTTACAGGGTGGTTCAGAGATGGAATGAAGAAGATTGAAAAGTATGTGATTGGAATAATATGCCACCTTCCGGTCCTAGACAATGAAGTATCTGCGGTTCCACCGAGAGTACAAGAAGAATCATTGCTCCAAAAGATTGATGATTCTATTATTGAATAGACCGCCTCCATTTATAATAGGCGCAGCAGCGCAACAGTCTTGGTGGCCCAGTATTAGATTAACCATATGTCCATAAACATACTGCAATACTTCTATTAGGAATACTAACTAAAATAGAATACCTATACCAGTAGGAAACAATTACAACAACCTTCTTCCGTTGTTCCGTCCATATCAAAGTTATTTTCAAAGAACAAAGACTGTAAAGTTGCCTCCGTTCCAAACTCAATAATGCCACAAGGACAAGGTTGTACATTGTCAAAGGTAATAGGTTGACAGGAATCACCTGACGCGCTTATAATACCCTTAGCGAGATTGCGTTGTTTCATACGGTGACCAAAAAGAAGATTCACTTACCTATTAGTTACTACAAGGGAAAGGTTAAAATGAAAAATATATTACATGGGTGGGGGTCACCTCTTCCTCCCCCCCTACTATTATAAAAGAAAATTGCCAACGAGACAAAGAGACTAGCAATTTAGCCAAATAAGGCCAGGGGCAGATTGATTGCTAAATAAGTGGTAACCAGCTATAGCAAAACGTTAAAGAGGGAGAAAGTCCCATGGAACTCTTCTTCACACATCCATGTGGAGCCTTTTCCCATTTAAATGCTCACTGTTTTTCAAAGAGTTCAAGAGCCTATTTGACTCTTTCCCATAAGAGGAGGAGGAGGAGGGGGAGGGGGGGGAGGGGGGGAGGGAGGGGGGGAGGGAGGGGGGGTAGGCGGCGGGGAGGGAGGCAGCATGGGGGGAGGCGGGAGGAGGAGGAGGACACACTACGAGTGTACTGAAAATTCCTTGCAAAACAACATGTTGAAGAAATGCCATACAAGATATGAGTTCAGTCCTAACTATCACAATAAGGTAACAAGGAATTTAGACTTCAAGCTATTTGGTGCCAAAACATAATGGAGTATCAGCACTTCCACTTAAGATGCGCCAGGAAAAACGTGGGAGGCACAAATTGACTAGAGTAGATGATTTACAAGAGGCTGAGTTGCCAAATTACACTTACAATCCCGTAAGTGCTATTGTGCAACAGACTCATTGGAATACACCAAGATATAAAATTTGTCCATCTGCCAACTGGTTATAAAAGTTGAGAGTTCATTAAAATTACTTTGATAATTCATTACCCTTGGTAGAAAGGCTCAATGCAATTTCACTGCCACACTTGATCATCGCAGTTTGTTCATCCAGAACAACCGTCTCATCAACAAGGATGACGTTTGAACTACAAAACAAGAAATGCCATATATATAGAGCTATTATTTCTTTACAAAGTATAGTTTATATACTTGCATCTACAAAAGAACATATTGAACATGTTACCTCTCTTGTATTAGATAGTTGAAGAGAGAGTGTAGAGTTTTAAAATTTTAATTTGAAAGTACTAGTTTTAGTTTCTTTCAGAATCTAACTTCACGAGAGAGAAACAACCATATATTGCATGCTTCTATTTACACTTCAAGTTTGTCATTGCATTCCTGACAGTGGAATAACAAAGAATTCTAAGAAAATAATTTTCAGGCTATTCCAACAATGTTCAACAATTGCCAAACACATGATATTTTTGATATTCATGAAAAAGGCACCAACAATTATCAGTTAGATCTTACATGTCAGAAAAAGATGAATATCTCTTCATTCCCTCCACCAATATCATGTAAGATCATGAATAAGACCAAAGGACTCAAAATCCGGGAGAAACAGTACCTGGTATTTTGTATTGTTGCAGAAACCATATCCCCACCTCTTGTGATTTTGCACCATGCGGGTTTCTCCAAAGTGGATACCTCTGAGCATATAACAGTCTCATTCAACTTCAGCTCAATCTCGGAACTACTTGAGCCCACCGGTACTGTAGTGAAACATTAGACAGGACATTAGGATTTATGGGCAGAGGCACTTCCTTTTGTTTAGTATATATGAGCACACAGGTAAACAACAAGAGTTGTATTTTGTCTTAACTACCGGTGACTTGTTTGATACGACCAAAAACATGTAAGAGAAACAACAAGCTTATGGATCACACTTGTACAGTTCTGAGTCTTCATTTTTAAAAAATGTAAATATGTGTGTAAAAATGCAATAAAAAGCTCTTTCCACTTCCTGTAGGTCCAAACGGTTCTGAATAAACCCTTCTGTACTCCAATTTCATACATATACCCACCCACAAAATAACATCATGTCAGAATTGCAGTCTATGGAACTTTTGTGTTTTCACGGAATAATTATATGAATTTAAAAATAAAAAAATTATATATGCACTAGAAGATAAAGAGAAAAACTCCTCATAAATTGGAAAGGATTGGTTTTGAAAAGTTCTGGAGGAGAGGTTTTCCTTGTGCCAGTGTATCTTGATATAATATTTGAGATTTATACCGTGTTTCTACCCTTTAGCCATTTTCTGAAACTTTTGTTAATCAAGATATACAGTAAGACCTTCAAAGCCTTCTCTTCCAACAACTTCACCCAAACATTGTTCTCCAATTTCTCAACTGTAGTGCGTATGTATCAGATTATTATAATTAAACTGCTTAAAAATCAAAACTCTTTCACCGTCATTTGTGCTGAAACTTAATGTAGAACAGAAAAGATTATAACTTTTCATGAAACCCAGTGGGTAGTACACAGAAAAATAATAAGGCGACTTGATTCGACCGCAAGAAACTTGGAAACTCCTGTTTTTACTTTCCCTTCGCTAATGACCAGGGACTAAGCGTTCAAGAAAACCAAACTCGAGAAAGCGCAAATAAGGTAACCAATCTTATGCCCCGTTTTGCTTCTTGATAGATATACAAAGGAAGAAAGATCACTTACCGAGTCTGGCCCAGATGACGTCGTCGCTGGAAGAGCCCGAGCTTTGCCCAAATTCCATGTTTTCCTCTTGCGAAGTAGCTAAACTAGCAAAGCAGCAACGCCAATTGCGGGTGTTCAGATAGAGGCGGAGACAATCAACGATGTGTCCACCTGAATTTAAGTCTGGTTTAAAATTTAAATGAGTTTGTACTCGGAGAAGCTGGCATTCAGTAGTTCAGTTCGTTATGAACTCGTATGAACACATTTCAAAGAACATTCATGAAGGAAAACCGTAAAAGACCCAAATAGCATGTGAGACCAGGGGCGGGCAATTCCGTTTACTGTTCGGTTTTCTTCGGTTTTGGTTCAGTTTCGGTTTATTCAGGTTGGGAGAATTTGTAACAAACTTAAACCATTTGTGTTTCGGTTTGGTTTCGGTTTGGTTCGATTTGGAGTTCGGTTTACCAAAGTAAAAAATATTATGTTTAATTTAGTTTGGTTTGATTCGTTTGCTTATGTTTATTATTTTATTTGATCATGTTCTATATTTTAGAAATATAAAATGAAAGTAGTAGTTCATCTCATTTTTTTTAGTTTATTGATTATTTAAATAAAATGTAAAAGGAAATAAAAGATAGAAAAATAAATTATACAATATTATAAATTAAAACTTCTAACATCTTTTTTATCACTACAAAAAATTCACTTCTTACAAAAAATAAGATAGTTGATTAGCATTTGTAATATCACATAAATTATTCAAAAAACCTAAAAGAGTCGGTGGTACAAATGTTGTAATATTCACAATTTTATTCAAATGAATCATGTAAAAGTATAAATGCAATTTGCAATTGTTATCGCCAAACATAATAAATACTTCGTACAAATATGTCGTATTAGCTAACTTTGTCATAGTAAATGTATGAAATGTGTAAAAATTAAAATGATACGAGTATATGCTTAATTAAATATGTATATTCATGTCTAATTATTTATTTATATCTTAAAAATGAAGAGTGAAGATAAATGCAAAGTGTGTATATGTGTGTGTGTGTGTTGTTTGGTGTTCGTTTCGGTTTACGGTTTTTCCGCTTCAAACAAAACCAAAGTACCAAACCATTCAGTTTAAGCAAATGTTTACCAAACGGTTTACTTAAGTAAATCCAAACCAAATCAAACCACCAATGTTAATAATATATGAATTTTTTTTTGAGTTTCTTTAGTTCGGTTCGGTTTTGTTTGGTTTTTATCGGTTTCGATTCGGTTCAGTTTAATACGATTGGAAAGAAATAGTACCAAACTCAAACCAAATTGCATACGGTCCGATTTCGGTTCGGTTTAGTTTGGTTTGGTACGGTTCGGTTCGGTTCGGTTAAACCAAACCATTGTGCCCACCCCTAATATTGTGAGTATACAAATTTAAAACTACTTATTTGCAAAATAGGGTGTAAAATAATTACTTTGCATGCAAAGTGAAGGGACGTAAAATGTTTAAATTCTTTGATTTAATTATTTAATATAAATTGTAGAATATATTTTTAAAACATTTTATACAGTACCATGTAAAGTATTTTACATGGGGAGAGTGGTAAAATCTTTTGCATGTTTTTTATACAGCAGTGCAATGTCTTTACATGCAAATTAAAAATAAATTTTTTTAACTAACCAAACAATGTAATCTATTTGCATGCAACCATTTCGCATGCAAAGATTGACGTGTAAACTACCAAACGAGCCCTTATATTCCCCTTGTGCACGCTATATTTGTCCCAAAAGATAGTAAGATAACCCATTTCCCCTTGGCTCAACACACACGTGCACTATTATCTAAAATTAGATCTCTCCGGTATAAAGAACTGTGTTCCTTGTAATAAATAAAAAGTAAATAATGACCTTAAAATGTCTGTATAAAAAAATCATTTTTCTTTGTAAATGTTATGAAGATGACATTTTTATTATTTGAAAATGTGATTTTTTTCTCAAAAAATGTTATTATCTCTGTCTCGGTGGACTTTGTCAAGTGCAGAGTAGGTGAAAAATAAGAATAGTAAAAACTTTGTGGTTGAAATGTGTGAAAAAGAAAGAGAAATGTGCAGAACCACAAATTAGTTGTTCTAATGAGAAAAGTGACAAATTTTTTTGGGACAATACAAAAGAAAAAGTGGATAAAGTACAATGGGACAGAGGGAGTATATAATGACATTGCTGACACATATTGGCAATTATCTACTTTGACATGATCTACTTTGACTACATTTTACACTATTATTTTATGAAAATTATTTTTTTAAAAAAATATTTTTCAATTCATCTCATAACAAATTTTCAGGATCCGATTTTTAATATTTTTTATTAATAGAGATTAAGATATACTTACGGTCAAATGTGTGCGTTAGCAATTGTGCAAAGGTTGACTGTTGCAACTAAAAAAGAACGGAGGAAGTGTAACCAAGACAGATATTTACGACACTTATACAGACAATTTATGTATTGTAATAAAGGTTGAATTGAATACCCTACAGACAACTCAAAAGGCTTGTTAGACAACTAATTTCACATGACAGACAACTACAAACCTAGTTTCAACAGTTCAAAATGAAGTGACAGGCAACTGAAATGGCTTGTCAGACAACTAATTTCACATGACAGACAACTACAAACCTAGTTCCAACAATTTAAAATGATGTGACACACAACTCAAATGGCTTGCCAGACAACTAATTTCACATGATAGACAACTACAAACCTAGTTCCAACAGTTCAAAATGACGTGACAGACAACTCAAATGGCTTGCCAGACAACTACAAACCTAGTTCCAACAGTTCGAAATGAAGTGACAGACAACTCAAATGGCTTGCCAGACAACTAATTTCACATGACAGACAACTACAACCCTAGTTTAAACAATTCAAAATGAAGTGACAGACAACTCAAATGGCTTGCCAGACAACTAATTTCACATGACAGACAACTACAACCCTAGTTCCAACAGTTCAAAATGAAGTAACAGACAACTCAAGTGGTTTGTCAGAAAACTAATTTCACATGACAGACAACTACAAACCTAGTTCCAACTGTTCAAAATGAAGTGACAGACATCTCAAATGGTTTGTCAGACAACTAATTTCACATGACAGACAACTACAAACCTAGTTCCAACAGTTCAAAATGAAGTGACGGACAACTCAAATGGCTTGTCAGACAACTAGTTTCGCATGACAGACAACTACAACCCTAGTTTCAACAATTCAAAATGAAGTGACAGACAACTCAAATGGCTTTCCAGACAACTAATTTCACATGACAGACAACTACAAACCTAGTTTCAACAATTCAAAATGAAGTGACAGACAACTCAAATGGCTTGCCAGACAACTAATTTCACATGAGAGACAACTACAAACAATTTTTAAACTACTAAGCCATTGCCAACTACTAAGAGAAATCAACCATATATGCACTTCAAGTAATACACCATACCACAATATGCACAATTTAAAGTTGAAACTTATACTAGTATAAAACAAAAATCCAAAATCCCTAAAACATAAGAGGAAATAAACAAAAAATTCATTTAAGCATTTCAACAAAGATGTTATGGGCATATTAATGACCTAGAATAGTTGGACTAAAATTGTAAGAATAAACATCACAAATTCATCACAATAACACAAGATGTTCAACCATTAACATTACAAGATGTATAGAGTATTACACATGAATTAAAAAATAAATAATAACAAATGAAGAAAGATGAAAAGGGGAGAAAGAGGCATACTGAGGGGAGTCTGTGGACAATCCGTAGCTCAACTCCATTGAAGTGGTTTGCAAATGGTGTCCATGGATGACCTCCTTTCGCCCTAGCACTGTAGCTCCCTGTTCGAAACACACACAAAAAAGAGGGGAGGGTGAGACGAAGGGAGGGTGAGACGGAAGGAGTGTTGGCCGGTGTTGTCGCGAGATGCTTGATTCTGGGTTGTTCGGTTTTGGGTTGTTCGGAGTCGTAGGGGAGTGCAGGGAGTTTGTAGGGGGCTGGTCTGGAGTTTTGGAAAGAAGAGGAGAGTTGGGGGTAAATTTTTTAAAGTGAGGTAAAAATGTGGGAGAGTTTTTATATGGGGTATGAATGAGGGACCTTTTGAGAAATTTTCCTTTCACATACTCCTATGTTATACGGAGTACTCCATATGATATCTCAAAGCACTACGAAGTCAAATTCGGATATACTCCCTCTCAGTGGCGTATCCAGAAAAATATGTCAGCGGGGGCGAATTTACCTTAGATTAAGAGAGAGAAAATTACAAGAAAATCAGACTAATTAGATTGAGAAAAAATGTCAAACTAACTATAACAAAATATTCTCTCATAAAAAACATTACGATATTATGTTTAATTAAATTTCACTTTGTTAGAAATAATTTTATCACATTGAATCTGTAATTTGTGCAAAATTATGTCAATATATAAATGAATCAACTAGGGAAGGAGGAACATCTAGTTAGAATTAGTTTTTATTAAAATTCACAAGTATCATAAAATACTAGTTTTTATTATGTATAAAATTAGTTCATATGTGAAATTAGTTTATTATAATGTAGTTTAGATCTTTTCAACAAGAAAAAAGTAAAAAGAACAATGTATAGCCACTTAGAATTTGCACAAGCCTTCAAGGAGGAATCAAACTCCGAACCTCATTTCAAATGAACAACTTAAGACTCCTACTATTTCCGCTCGACCACTAGCAGGTTATTTCAAAATTTTCGTACTTATTGTATAAGAACCCTTATGTAGAACAAAAAATATATGTATAAATTTAATTTGGATATATATATATATATATATATATATATATAATAGGGTTGGTGGGGGTTGAGTGGGGGCAGCTGCCCCCTGCCCCCACCCTGGATACGCCCCTGCTCCCCCCGTCCCATTTTAGTTAGCCAATCTTGACTTTTCTGGTCAAAGGTGTTAAACTTTGAGCAATTATTTGAACTAATATATTTATGCAAAAAATAAAAATTTTATACTTTTATGATAGTATTTTCAACAAAGAACATTTTCATATAATTTTTATGTTATTAATATTTTATCTATATAAATATATAAACTTTCAAAGGCATTAACTGGATAACTAAATTGGGCTGTTGCCCGAAAGAGGAAGTTCAACCCAAGAACACCCCGGGCAGTCAACCTGTAGACAGGAGAAGAAATTTCTCACACGGATGCAAAAAGAGATGGTTAATTCACCATGTGGCGACCACAACGAGAGTATTGGGAACAAGCAGACCTATTCTACGGATTCATTCGATGAGGAGGGAAGGAAGATGATGGTGGATGGAGAAGTGAAATCAGTAAAGGAGGATTCTGAGGGTAACATGGATAATCAGGAAAGTGGTAAAGGCACTACTTCGGAGCAGCTCACACCTTTAATTGCAAAGGACTATAACTCAGCAAAAAAAGATGCGTCTTTTATTGCAAATGATTTTACTGAAGAGAAAGAAGGCGGGGCTAAGAAGAGAAAGACCGCTAAAAGGGGCAGTGCTGCAGGCAAAAATAGGGTGAGCTACGAAGAAAACCTGCCAAGCGCTGAAATGGAGAGGGGATATGCTCTTCCAAGGAGGAAATCAAGTCGCTATGCACAAATGAGGATTAAAAACATCGATGCTCAATACTTGGAGCTGGATGAAGCGTGTAAAAGAAGAAGGAAGGGGAGCATAACGGAAAGGATGGTTAAAGATTCTCTGAAAGGTAGAAGTGGTAAAGCTCAGCCTAACTTGGAAGATAATGACAGCCCAATTAAAAGTAAGAAAACTAGGAGAGGGGAAAAGAGGACTTTAACTGAAGACATTGAGGAAGAAGACAAAGATGAGAAAGTTAATGGAAATGCAGTTAGTGCACATGGCCTTCGACGTAGGAAATCTAATAATGTATGCAGTTTATCTGGACCAAAGATCAGAAAGGATGAAGATGTAAATGATCTAATCTTTATATAGCTAGAATGCTTCTTTCAATAATCATTTATGTAGTTGGATACATCATTACTTTTGGAAAACTTCATTATTGCATGTGACAGGGAAATGAGTTTGAGTCAAATATGTGTCACCAATGCCAGAGAAATGACAAAGGAATGGTTGTTCGTTGCACAAACTGCAAGACAAAGAGATATTGTCTGCCTTGCATGGCCACATGGTAAGAAAGTTTAGATATAAGGCTCTATCCATAAGTGTATCAGTTCAATTAGTTACTATGTAACTGTTTGCTTCAGTTCTAAATAAAGGCATAATAATATCTTGCATATCAGTTTTTTATTCTTTGGCATTATTGGCTATAACTGAGGGCATGCTATCATCAACATATATAAGTAGACCTTAGAGCTGGACAACTTTTTAAGTAAGAGCATATATGAGCATCACTTCTCTTAATAAAAAAATAAACAAGTATTTAGTTATTTTCAAATGTAACTCGTTTTCTAAATAAATAAAAATAAATTTTCAACTATTTTCAAATAAATATATATATTTGTTTTATTTTCAAATAAAACTCATTTTATATGGATGTTTAGTTTTAACTTTTAAGTAAAATTCATTTTACATCCCTGAAGAGATATAAAGTTAATTCTACCCCAAAAGGTCAAACATTGCGTCTAATTAAGTACTGTTATTTACATTAAAAAGGAAAATTCCCTGAAACAGGGGTAAACAACAATATTAATTTCCAAAACAGGTGTACTATGTCTTCTCTTTCTAAATGGGAGTAATTACCACCAAGCCATCCTGAAACATTTTTGCCATATTTCCTACTATGTCTCATTTGCAATATGAGACATTAATATGACAGAACTAATGCCAAAGTATTTTCCAAGCACAAGCACAACAGTAATTACTCCTATTTTGGGAATAAAAAACAAAGTGCTCTTATTTTGGATTTTCATATTGTGTTTACTCCTGTTTAGGGCAATTTTTTTTAATTAAAAGTGATTCCATGCATAGAGTCTTTTTGGATAAAACTTTCTGCAACCATTATATGGTCAATTATCTTTTCAGATCTGCTAGATCAAATGCCTGTATTTAACTTCCACAGTCCCACCCTCCATCTTATTTGGCATTGGCCATAGAACACCATAGTTTTTGCCTAAGGATTCTTAGTTGTAATAATAATATAATATGATAACATATTTTTTGGGTTTGATCGGACATTTGGACCCGAATATGCTTGCTATTATATTTCCTTTAAATCCTAACATATTGCTCCCAAATGTTATGGTCATATCAAAGTAGATGTTTTTTGAGTGAAATCTGTGTTCATTCATTTATGTCATTCTGTGAAAAGGTATCCTGGTATGACACAGGAAGCTTTTGCAGAGAAGTGCCCGGTTTGTCTAAAAAACTGCAATTGCAAATCATGTTTGCGGTTGGAAGGCTCTATAAGGGTTGGTTGCTCTTGTTTTATTTTATATTGCTTCTTAGTTATAAGTTGTGCATAGCTGCGTCCTAATTATGTATGTCAATTTCTTTTGCTGCTATCTGGGTTGCATTCCCAATATAGGAGTTGAAAGGTATACGAGTTGAATTCAGCAAAGATGAGTGTGTCCAGTACTCTAAGTATATATTGCAGGTGCTTTTACCTTTCTTGAGACAATGCAATGCACAACAAATCAGGGAAAAGGAGACTGAAGCAATGATTCATGGTATCTCTCTTGCTTGGTGAAGTTTCACTTTATTATCTACATGATGTTTTCAAGATAATGAAACTATAGAAGAAATGAATGGGAACTTAAGCGGGTGTAAGCATGTCATCAAGTTAGGGATTCTTGCCCACATGTCGGAGGTTAATTTTCCCTTAATAAAAGAATAACTGAATTTTATCAATCCGGGACCTAAAAGATAGATAAGCTATCAATCCAATACCTGAAAGATGAAATGTGTCAGTATAGGACTCGGATGATTGAAAACTGTCAAAGTGTCAATCTAGGACCTAAGTGGTCATGAATTCATTTTGTTTCTTAAAAAAATAAATATTATTTAGTTTACCAAACTAACAAACTTGTGTGAAGAAAAATTCATCAAAAATTAGCAATGGATTTAATAAAAAATTAAATTAATCAAAACCTATGAAATTTTATGTCCTAGATTGATAGTTTTCAATCATTAAGGTCCTATACTGACACATTTCATCTTTGAGGTTCCGCATTGATAGTTCATCTATCTTTCAGGTTCTGAATTGAAAAAATTCCAAGGATAAATAATATACAACAACAACATCCAAGCCTTAGTCCCAAACGATATTGGGGTCGGCTAACATGAATCGATACATGATATTACCAGAAGGAAAAGAAAGAAAATAAAGATAAAAAATATAAGCTATTATAAAAAAAGATAATATAAAAGAGATGAATATACATATAAAAGATAAAATAAAAAGAATAAAGTAATATTTATATATAAGGATAAAAATATAAAAGAAAAAGAAAAAAAGAAGAAGAAATAAAGAGGGGAAAAGGTGATACAAGATCACTCCTCCACACGAATACCCGCCCTCCATTTTGCTCTCTCCAAAGCCATACCCTGATCCAATCCAAGAAGAAGCATATCACTTCTGACTCCCCTATCCCACGTCTGTTTGGGCCTTCCTCTCCCTCTCTTCCCTGCCTCTTCTCCACACATCTCAACTCGTCTGACAGAGTGACAGGTGCATCACTTGGTCTTCTATGCACATGACCAAACCACTGTAGGCGCGACTCCCGCATCTTATCTTCAATAGATGCTACTCCCACCCTTTGTCTGATTGTCTCATTTCTCACGCGGTCCTTTCTAGTATGCCCACACATCCAACGCAGCATGCGCATCTCTGCCACACTCATCTTTTGATTGTGACATTGTTTCACCGCCCAACACTCCGTGCCATACAGTAATGCAGGCCTAATTGCTGTCCTATAGAATTTACCCTTCAGTCTAGTCGGCATACCTCGATCACATAGAAATCCTGATGCACTCTTCCACTTCATCCACCCTGTTCTGATTCTATGGGATACATCTCCATCTAACTCACCATCCTTCTGAATTATGGAGCCCAAGTAACGGAACATATCGCTGACCGGTATCTCCTTACCATCTAAAGTAATTCCGCTATTACCACTGCTTCTACCTCCACCAAACTTGCACTCCATGTACTCTGTCTTGCTCTTACTAAGTCTGAAACCCTTGTTCTCCAATGTTTGTCGCCATACTTCCAACTTTGCTTTAACCCCTGATTGCGTCTCATCAATCAATACAATATCGTCGGCAAACATCATGCACCACGGTATATCATCTTGAATTGACTTTGTAAGTTCATCCATGACTATGGCAAATAAAAAAGGGCTCAGAGCCGATCCTTGGTGCACTCCGATAGTAATAGGGAACTCCGCAGTCCTCCCTACACTAGTACGGACACTTGTAGTACAGTCCTCATACATATCCATGATGATGCTGATATAGGATGTTTTTACTTGGACTGTAATTTGCTGGTCTGGTCTGGTCTGATCTGGTCTGGTCTGGTCTGAACTGGTCTGGTCTGGTCTGGTAAGGTCTGGTTTCTTTGTATTTTTATAACTATTCAAGTCTGGTCTGGTCTGAACTGGTCTGGACTGGTCTGGTCTGGTCTGGGACAAATTACAGTCCAAGTAAAAACATCCATACTTGCGTGAAATGCCTTTTCTAGTTAAGGCCCACCAAAGAACTTCTCGAGGTAGCCGAAGAAGGTGAATAGCCTCAGTTGTTGAGCGATCAGGCATAAAACCGAATTGATTCTCTGAAATCTTCACCGTTCTTCGAAGTCTTTGCTCAATCACTCTCCCAAAGTTTCATAGTATGACTCATAAGCTTAATCCCTCGATAGTTGGCACATTCTTGTACATCACCTTTATTCTTAAATAATGGAATAAAAGTACTCTTTCTCCAACTCGTTGGCATCTTGTTGTTTCTCCAAATCTTGTTGAAGAAATTTGTTAACCACTCGATGCCTCTCTCTCCCAAACTTCTCCAAGCCTCGATCGGTATGCCATCTGGACCCACTGCTTTCTTCCGCCCCATCTTCCTCAGAGCCTCTTTAACTTCTGTTGGTTGGATCCTTCTCACAGAATCATGATTTACCACATAATCTGGTATGGTCAAATCACCGATATCTTGCACTTTGTTCCCGTTGAACAATGTATCAAAGTATGACCTCCACCTCTCTTTTATCTCTCCGTCCTCCATTAATATCCTTTGATCGACATCCTTCACACACTTAGCTTTTCCGATATCTTGAGTCCTACGATCACGAAGACGAGAAAGTCTATAAATATCTTGTTCTCCTTCCTTAGAGTCCAATTTTTCATACAACTCCTTGTTCACTTTCCCTTGTGCTTCCTTTACGGCTTTCTTTGCTTGTCTTCTAGCCTCCTTGTATGCTTCTATGTTCTCATCACTCCGACTTGTCCCCAACTTTTTGTAGCAATCTCTTTTGTTCCTTATGGCTTGTTTCACCTCATCATTCCACCACGACGTGTCCTTTTTGGGTGGCAGACATCTTTTAGATTCTCCAAGTACCTCCTTTGCCACTTTGTTAATGGTCAGCTCCATCGATAACCACGCATCCTCCACATGTGTTCCATTATCAATACGCCATACATCTTCACCGAACATTTTGTGTGTAAAGCTTTGTTGAAGATCTCCCTCAAGCCTCCACCACTTTATCTTTGGCGCCACTTGTTGCTTAACTTGTCTTCTATGGTTCTTACCTCGAAAGTCAAGTACAAGCATCCTATGGTGAGCGACAACACTCTCACATGGGATAACCTTACAATCGGTGTAGCTAGTTCTCCAAGTAGTCCGTACTAAGAAGTAGTCAATTTGGGTACTATTAGCTCCACTTATAGTACTGACTATAAATAATATACTGACACAATATACTGACTTTAGCAGGATTGAGTATTTCATGTGAGGGATTTTTGTCCCATACAAAATGTCAGTTTTCCCTTGATAAAAGGATAAATTGATAATATTTTGATGAAAATGTCTTTCTTCGATGTCTAGTGGTGGATTATATTTACTGTTTTTCCCTTTATTTGTTTGAAGGAGTTGCCTCTTCTATTTTAGAGCTTCAAAAGGTGAACTGCCCGTTTGATGAGAGGATGAATTGGTAAAAGCTCAATGATTTTTATGGGAGTGTTATAATTTTAATCTACTAGTTTCTTTATGTGTGTTTTTGTTGAAGCATTTGTATTGTCACATGGTGTTTGCAGTGGCAACTGTAAAACGTGTATTGTTGATTTTCACCGAAGCTGCGCAAACTGTTCCTACAATCTATGCCTTGCCTGTTTTCAAGAGCTTAGGAATGAAAGCTCGAAGGGTGGACCTAATGCAAAAAGAACCTCCAAAAAAGCCAAGAGATTCATTGAAAGTGGTAGAATTGTTTGTCCAACTTGTAATGTTGAAAGTTTAGAGTTAAGGCACTTATTGGGGGAGAACTACATTTCTGAATTGCTTGCAAAGGCAGAAGAAATAGGGATGAAGTTGAATTTAGATGACATGCCCAAAAGTTCTCCAGAATGTTGCGCTTGTTTGAAAACTATAGACGGGGAAGATATTGGCAGGAGTTATAATGTAAGGAAAGCAGCTTCTAGGGAGGGTTCTGATGATAATGTTTTGTACAATCCAGTAGCAGCCAAGAACATTGAGGATGAGGATCTGAAGCACTTTCAATGGCATTGGGGTAAAGGAGAGCCAGTGATTGTCAGTAATGTATTAGAAACTACGTTCGGACTAAGCTGGGAACCGATGGTTATGTGGCGTGCATTCCGCCAGCTAAGAAGTCAAAATGAAATAATTGCTGTTAACTGCTTGGATTGGAGTGAGGTAGTTTGGTAGGCATAAGTCCATACCTTCTAGTTTTTTTACTACTTAGAAAGTCTCTAAAAGCTCTTTGTTGTATGTTTGGCACAAATGCACAACGATCTTTTTGAATTGCTTTAAAATTTTAAGATCTTATGAGAGAAAGTTTGTAGCTTTTAATATTAATTAGTCAAAATAGCTTGTTATATAAAAAACTAAATCAAATAGTCAGCTTTTATCAAACAGCTACAACCTTTTTCTTTTTGGGACCTTTTCCGTCACTAAAAACAAAACACTTAAGAGTTCAAAAATATCTTTTCAGTTAGATGTGCAAACATGTACGTAAGTATATTTGATAGTAACACAGTCCATGCAATTTTCGACGCGATTTTCATCATGAGTCATCTGGAAACAGTGTCTCAAAGTACAGGGGTAAGGCTGTTGGGAATGTTGTTGTTGTTGAGTAACACATGGCATTGGTGTTGCTTCTAGAAGATTGACATTAATCCTAGAATTTATGAACACTTCTTTAATTCAGGGGCTTGTCTTCAGTTTTCCTGATGTATCTAGTGGAAGAAGTTGTTCTTACTCATATTTTGAATTTGTCCCATTCCAATGTTTTTATCAGAATGCTCTTGTACTTTCTCCTGATTGTCACTCCATCTATATTATTTGGAACCATAATTTTTCCCAGCCCAATTGTCACAACTCAAATAATTTTTAGTTATTTTTTACCTTAGAGTATAACACATATTTTGAGGTGCGGAGAAGAGGAGGGCAGGAGAGGGAGAGGAAGACCAAAACAAACGTAGATTAGAGGAATTAGGAGTAATATGCTTCTTCTTAGGTTGGATAAGAATATGACTCCGGAGAGAACAAAGTGAAGGGCGAATATTTGTGTGGAGGATTGATCTATTTTCTCTTTTCTCTCTCTCTCTCTATTTCTTTTATTTGTCTTATTCTTTATTTTTCTCATGTTGTTTATCCTTTTACCCTTTTTATTTGATATATATATATATATATATATACTCCATCCGTGCGAAAAGGTTGACCAAAGTTTACTTTCACGTGGATTAATAAAGTAAAAATTGTGTGGTTAAAATTTGTGCGGAGGAGAGAGAATTAACTTTAGGGAGTGTTTGCGATTGATTCTACTTTAAAAAAGTGATTTTTTAAAGTGATTTTGGAGAAAGTACTTAATAGTAAAAGTTGGTAGTGTTTGAGAAAAAGGTGATTCTGAAAAAGTAAAAATTGGTAGTATTTGGTAAAATAAGTGCTTTTTGTCTAATAGGAAAAGTGAAAAGTAGTTTAAAGCATCCTTCCACCTGCTTCCAGCTTTTAGCTTTTAAGTGATTAATTTAAGCAGAAGCTGTCATTTGAAAACACCCCTTTCAGCTTTTTTTAAGCAAAAAGCTCAAAAGCACTTTTATTAAGCAATGGAAAACACTCCTTTAGCCACATATTCCTTGCTTTAAAGGAAAATGACAAATCTTTTTGGGACATCCAAAAAAGGAAATTTGGCCAACTTTTTCGGGACGGAGGGAGTATATATATATATATATATATATATATATATATATATATATAGAGAGAGAGAGAGAGAGAGAGAGAGTAGTCTTCCTGTCAGGACCGCCCGAAAACGGACCTCGACGTTTGGGCCCCTTCCCGGTGGAATTTTTTGATGAATTTTTATGAGCATGTTCTCCATCAAGTCTAGTTTATCCATACCAAATTTCAGCTAAAAATTCAATCGGGAAGACAATCAAATGATTTTTGGAAGTTAACTGCATTTTATATGTATATAAAGTGTGCAGTTAACTTCCAAAAATCATTTGACTGCCTTCCCGATGGAATTTTTAGTTGAAATTTGGTGTGGATAACATGCTCAAAAATTTTCATAAAAAAATTCCACCGGGAAGTGGCTCAAACGCCGAGATCCGTACGGAGGTCCGTTTTTTGAGGTCCTAACATGAACTTTCCTCTCTCTCTCTCTCTATATATATATATATATATATATATATATATATATATATATAGAGGAATGATCCTGTCCAGCAGCCCCCGGTCCGAACAGTGTCCAAACATGGCCATTTGGGGCACTTCCCGGTGGAATTTTTTGATGAAATTTTTTGAGCATGTTCTTCATCAAGTCTAGTTTGTTCATTCCAAATTTTAGCTCAAAATTCGTGCGGGAAGGCATTCAAATCATTTTTTGAAGTTGACTGCGTTTTTATATGTATATTTTGATGCAGTCAACTTCAAAAAATGATTTGAATGCCTTCCCGAATGAATTTTGAGCTGAAATTTGGTATGGACAAACTAGACTTGATGAGGAACATGCTCAAAAAAATTCATCAAAAAATTCCACCGGGAAGTGCCCCAAATGGCCATGTTCGGACACTGTTCGGACCGGGGGCTGCTGGACAGGATCATTTCTATATATATATATATATATATATATATATATATATATATATATATATATATATATATATATATATATATATATATATATATATATACGGAAAAGATCTTGTCCAGCCGGAGGGACAAGATCCTCCATCCAGACGTTGCCGTTTGGGGCGATTTCCGGTGGACTTTTTTGATGAATTTTTTTGAGCATGTTCCTCATTATGTCTAGGTTATCCTCAAAGAATTTCAGCTAAGAATTTCAGTCAAATAGATTTTTGAAAATTACTGCGTTTTATATGTATAATTTGGCGCAGTTATCTTCAAAACATTATTTGAATGCCTTTCCGATCGAATTTTTAGCTGAAATGTTTTGTGGATAAACTAGACTTGATGAAGAACATGCTCAAAAAAGTCCACCGGGAACTGCCCCAAACGATGGTGGCCGGGCGGTGGGTCCTGTCCCTCTGGCTCCAATATTATCTTATCATTTACTACTATATCTTTATCTTTTTTCATCTTACCTTATCTTTTTTTTCTTTATTTTCTTTTTGGCTCCAATATCATAACTCGGTTCATGTTAGTCGACCCCAAAACCTTTTGGGACTAAGGGTTGGATGTTGTTGTAGTAAGTACATGTTTATGTAATGATTTATGTGCTGAGGGGATAAGTGACTAAATGCTGTTGGCTAGATTGCCAGCTGTTAGATTTGGTTAACTTTAATGTTATTTACAATAGTTCAGTCTATTTCATACATGTTTAAATTTATGGAAAACAGGAAATGGTATTTGCAGTACTATTATAGTTTCTTATATCATGTCAACAATCTTCTGGTGCTCTTCGGTATTTATTTTGACATTTTGATTATTGGGATGCAATACACTCTTAGGCTCTTAGTGATTATTACTGACTGCTTCTTTATTTCTGGATGACATCTAGGTCAACGTTAATATCCACCAATTTTTCAAAGAATATATGGATCTTCCTTTCGAAAGTGGGTGGCCTAAAATTCTGAAGTTGAGTAACTGGCCAACATCTGATTCATTTGAGGAACGCTTACCACGTCATGATGCTGAGTTCAAACACTTGCTGCCTTTTAAGACATATACAAACCCTCTACACGGGTATCTAAATCTTGCCACAAAATGGCCTTCAGAGTTCTTAAAGCCAAATATGGGACCAAAAGCATGTATAGCTTATGGAATTCATTTGGAGCTTGGGCGTGGAGATTCTGTAACCAAACTCCATTTCGATACGTCTGATTCTGTATGCTGATCTAATCCTTTTCCAAGTCCGAGTTCAATGTTTTTCTCCTCTAGGTTTTGCTTTCCGTCATCCACATGCATATTTCTACTAATAGACGGTAAATAATGTAAACTAGTTTTGGGGGGGGGGGGGGAAATGAAAGCTTACTACTACCAGTCTACCAGTGATTATGATATACCACTCCATTTTCATAGGATCTGCACAATTGATGGATGATTAGCATGCGATTTGTTCTATATGTTCTCATATCTTCTTTTTTAATTCTGTAAGTGCTAAGTTATGTGTGTTTAAATCTTTGATGCAGGTGAATGTTTTAACGCATACTCAAGGAATAAACCTAACACCTGAAAGTCTTTCAACTCTTAAAAAAGTTAGAATGAAGCATGCTATCCATGATGAGAATTATCGAATGATGGCTGATATGGCTGAAAAGAAAGAGACTGAGATTCAAAAGCTTACAGAGGATTGCTCTATGCTGGGCAAAAGAAAAAATTTCACTTGTGAGAAGCCAGAGAAAAAATGGTATACTGATGGAACAGTTGGTGATTTTAAGAATGGTGATGAAGCTCAGCAGGGAAAGGATCCTAGAGGAAATGATTGTGCTGAGTTTGAAGAGTCTGATGGTGGTGCTCTTTGGGACATCTTTAGAAGAGAAGATGTCCCTAAGCTTGAAGAATACATCAGGGAACAATTTAAGGAGTTTGGGCATATTTATACTTGCCAAGACACACAGGTATGAATGTTTTCATGAATTTAATATGTATTTAGGACAATGTGATCAGCATTAAATATAGAGGCTATATATTACTCCCTCCGTCCCATTTAAAGGTTCTCACGCGGTTTACGATGTTTGACTGACCATAAAGTTAACTGATCCCTGTCATTAGTAGAATTGTTTTTAGTAAATAAAATTTATATATTCAGAAACTACATTAAAAGTTCTATAATACCTGATCAAAAAAATTAAATTCGATAAAAGTTGGATATATAAAGTAAAAGATTAAGAACAATGCACGTTGACTGGAGAGTAGTGGACGGGAACCTAAATGGGATGGAGGGAGTATTTATCATGATTATGTTTTTGTGATTCCTGTGTTTCTTTTCTTAGGTTGTGCACCCAATACACGATCAATGTTTTTACTTGACCATTGAGCACAAGAAAAGACTCAAACAAGAATATGGTTAGTTTTCTCGCACTACAGTAGCTATGTTATTGAACACTCTTTATTTTTTAATTAAATATACCTAAGTGGTGCTGTGATAAACTTTTTAGGGGTTGAACCATGGACATTCGTTCAAATATTAGGGGATGCTGTTTTTATTCCGGCAGGCTGCCCTTATCAAGTTCGGAATTTGAAGGTTTATTTCCCTTTTTGTTCTTTTCTGTTTTGAAAACATTTTATTTGAACAATCACTCTGTTTTCCGTTATTCCCTGAAACTGGGAATTTTCCAGATTAGCTATATTTTCCATTCTATTAGCTTTTCTTTTGTGATTAAGTTGATCCTTGAAGGATACTTCTGAATAACAATACCATCATCTGTTCGTAGTCGTGCACAAATGTTGCTCTTGGCTTTGTATCTCCTGAAAGTTTCTCCCAATGCGTTAGATTAACTGAGGAAATCCGCTCACTTCCCCAAAATCACAGTGAAAAAGAAGATAAAGTAGAGGTTTGGATTCTCTTCACGTTTCCCCAAGGCTTATTTGTTTCCCAACACATTACATTCTTCTTGTATTAATTGCTTAACTTGTTTCCTACACAGTCCATCTTTTATGGATTGTGTTTTCTCTTTAGTTATGAATACACAAAGCATAAATCGTGATGCTTCTATCAGTGATAAGGTGGGGCTAGAGGAAGAACTGGTGATACAGGCCTCTTTGTCTCTTCATCCATCTTGATTTGTTAAGAAAATATTTAGTTCTCCCAAAAAATTAAGATTAGTCGTGCCTATCTAAGAAATAAGTTTTAAAACTTCATATACGGAGGAGTATGTAATAAATAACTCTAGATTGGTTTTTGTTGGGGGACAGAAATCATGGAGGAAGGTGTTCTTAGCTCTGGGGCAGCATTGTTTGTTGAGTTCTTTGAATGTTTCCCATTAAATCTTTACTTCAGTTTTTTTTGTGTGTCATAGTTTTTGCACTATTAATTAGTATCCCATCCCACCCTCCCACTCTGCCTGCACATAGATGACATGAGACAGAACTGTTTCCATTAAAATTGATTTTTTTTGCTGGTGTAGATAGTTCCGTTTTTATCCCTTACATTTTCATCTCCAGTCACTTAGCAGGCAGGCTTATTTCAAAAAATAGCAAACCAAATCTAATTTCAATCCCTCCGTTCCATTATATTTGGCCAACTTTGACCGGCACGGGGAATTAATAACATCAAAGCTATATTCCTGAAAAAGTTTGGGGTCAGCTAACATGAATTGGCATATGATATCGGAATAAATAAATAGAGAAAGAGGGACAAACAATAAAAGATCAACTCTCCAAGTGCATGCTCTCCCTCAACTTCGCCCAAGTCATACTCTCATCTAACTCAAATACTATTACATCATTCTTGACCACTCTAATTCACGTTTGTTTAGGTTATCCCCTCCCTCTCCTTTGATAGGAGCCCGATTTGAAGAGATGAAATTAGACGTAGAATTGATACGATAGTACTGAACGGAAAAGAGAAAGATACAATCGAGACACTTCGAGTAGTCTCAGCACTCCCAAGTCCCAAACTAATTTCTGCCTGCCTTTCTTTCCCCCCTTCCTGCTCTTATTATACTTAGTTCCCAAGTTACTGGGCCTAGAAACCACTTGTTGTACAATATCAAATATTTACTATTATTCTTATTACTAGTATTGTCTAGGTCCCTATCATCACTCCTCCTTTGACAACCACTTTGTCCTCAAGGTGGGAGGTAAGAAAAAGCCCTGACCAACCGCTTCGTCCTCATCCTTGCGCCTCTTCCTTCCCAATACCTCCCTGCTTGCTGCACCATGAGCTTCAGTAGTGTCACTGCTAGTCCCTTAGATTGAGAGCCCTTGTCCTCCAGCAATATTGCATGTCTCTCAGCTTTCAACCTATCCCTTGAAGGATGCTCCTCCCTGAACAACTCATACAGAACCTCATCTGCACGCATATCAAAAGAAGGCTCAAGTGGATTTGAGTCTCTATGCTAAGTTACTCCATCTTCCTCAGTTATCTGTATGGATATGGTTATCACCAGTCTTTCGAGCTGTTCCACCTGAGTGATCCTTGATTACAGACAACAAGTTCTCTCAATATTCTCCTTATGTCAGCACTGGAGTCTGATAAAAGCCTTCCAATAACACATGTGTATGCAGCACTTTCTACCAATTTGAACTCAGGATTCAAAACTTTTGTAGTTCCTTCTAATAGAGCTCGTATCACCAAGGCATAACCACATATAACTGCTTCATTATAAACTGGACACCACTTATTGTACAATATCAAATACTTGCTATATTCTTATTACTAGTATTGTCTAGGTCCCTATAATCCTCCCTCCTTCCCCTTACTCTTCCCACCTCTCAAGATTCTTAAAATCTTAACAGTCAAGGTTCTTAAAATCGTATTTTTGAATCAAATCAGTAGAGGTTCTTGAAAATCCAATGGTTAATTGAATCCTAAATGGGAAGATGTTACAGAATATATATTACTACCTCTGTCCCATTGAACCACAAATTAGTTACTTTAATGAAAAGTGTTAAAGTTCTTTTGGGACAATAAAAGTAGGAAAGTTGGCAAAGTCTAATGGGACGGAGAGAATAATAATTATGAAATAGTTAATTATTAAAACAAAGCTGCAAGTTAGTAATACTAAGCCATCTCATTACTTAAAACTATACAAATCGGGTCATAAACAAGGTTTATAAACTACTTTTATAATGTAAATGAAGCCAATAATAAACAGCAAACATATGTAAAATACTAAATTAATTAAATGATACAAGTATTTATTACTTTCACTAAATATATTATTGAACTTATTACTGTTGGAATTATATATAAAAGCTCATAGTTAATTTTAATAATTTCAAAGTATTTTCACGAAAAAACATTACTATTTTGTTACGATCCTAAATGATTTTGTACGACTTTACTGCGAATTAAATCGATTTATTAATGTAGAATAGTAAGATTGCAAGACTTTACAATTTGAATCGAGATTTTAACAACCTTGATAACAGTTGCATCACTCAGTCTTCTATGCAAATGGTCAAACCATTGCAACTGAGACTATATTTCAGCCCTTGGGCCACTGCTTTGGCTTGTTTCCAGCTGTACACCTCAGATAGCTTTCATTCTCTTTCAAGACACTTATTTACCACCTCAGTCTTCCCACCCATCTGTCTGTGGATGGTAGGCAGTTCTGTACTTCAATTTTGTCCCAGCCAACTTGAACAACTCAGAACAGAAAGTACTCAGGAAGATACTACGGAGTATCTCTATCAGAGACAATGGTCCGTGGAATCCCATGAAGCCGGACCACTTTTTGGATGAATACATTAGCAACTCCCTTGGCCGTACAAGGATGAATTAATGCAATAAAATGCGCAAATTTGGTTAGGCAATGAACCACAACCAGTATAGGATCCTTACCCATAGCCTTAGGAAGCCCTCCTATGAAGTCCACCCTAATATCAATCCAGATTTGATTAGGTACAGCCGTGTAGCTGCCCAGCCACACTTTTGCTGCCGCAGACAGAATAATCTTTTTCCAAATAATCACCCGAAAAGTTGTTGGCAAAAAGTTGCTGAGTAACCATAATTTATTGCCACTAGTCACATCACATGTGGGACAGTATCGTTGATAATTGCGGTGTGTCACTGGCAGTATCACTAGTGGTGCCACTAGCCCAGTAGCAATGACATTAAAATCATTGACAGTGACACCCTCCAAATACTTTTGTTTGTTACAATTGCTTTTTCACAAAGTTTAAGAGTAAAATAGTAGGGGAAGTTTATAGTGTAGAAAAAGTAAGAGAGAAGGTGGAAAATTTTGAAATAAAAGATGAAAAAGTAGAAAAAGTAAGGGTAGTTGAGTAATTTTAAGGATGTCTTTACTTGGACTGCAATTTTCTGATATGGTCTGGTCTAGTATGGTCTTTGTATGTTTTGCGACTTTCGAAGTTTGGTCTGGATTTGAAACCAAACCAACTTAATCAAGTAAAAACATCTCTAATGGAAAACTTACCAAAAAGGGATTTTGTTGCAAAAATTAAAATCCTTCCCAAAACAGAAAGTATAGCAAACAAAAGAACACAGAGGGAGTATTGTATTAGTATTATTGGAGGAAACCACCCTTTTTAAATAAAATCAAAATTTACACGATGTATGTATTCTGTTGTAGTTCTCAAAGGCTTGCATCTGATGCTGAATTTAGGTGGTTACTTGCTCATGTAAAAGTGGTCATCATTAGATGCATGTTAGTAGTACAGAAATGAGGGATCATGAAAGAGGAGATGCAAAACGCGGTAAACATTTTTTTTTAAATATCTAATAGTTAAGACCATCTAACCCTATCTGGCTCCTTCCTCTTATTTGCTTGTGTTGAAAATTTGACCCAATGGTGTATAGTAGCACTTTCCTTCTCGGCGTTGTTGCTCCAGTGTGACATTATAGTACATAATTAAACATAAAATACAAAATACAAAACATTTCTAGCCACACAAACCACCATGAAGTATCACAATTCACAAAGACCACGAATTCATAAATGTTCTATCAAGAAACTCCATAAACAAAGACTAATGTCCATCAAGAAATTTGATCAAAATGAAAAAATTGAAAGTCCAAGGTTTCTAAAATGCTAAATGTTTAGGGAAACTTGCCTTCTATTTCTTTTAAAATAAATGGTCTGCAAACAAGACTTTAAAGTTTAAGTTTCCTACACGTTTAAGTTTTAGAAACATAAGCTATGCCGAGTTGCAGTGCTTCTTAGGTGCATAATTGATTACAACCACAGTAGGGAGGGTCATTTTGATTCTCTTAGGGTTAGTTTTTCACTAGTATCTCTTGCAGCTCTTGTCTATTTTGATTTGCATTTCGTCTTTCTCTTTATCTTTATTTCTTGTACTCCCCAATGAATTTTCATTAATTAAATTTCCTTTCTTTTTTAAAAAAATTAATTACAACCACAGATGTACCAAGCAAGGCTTGAATGCTTGATTAGATTATAGTTTATTTATTTAAGAAATCGGAACACTAATTTTAAAACTAAAATTGATCTTTCCAACGAGATATTCAACACTTGACGTGGAAGAGCATACAAGAAGATATTATCAAATCAAATACTTAGTTTGTTTTCTGTAATATAGCATTTTTTAGCGTAAATAGAGCATATTTTGCTTGCTTTTTTTTTTAAAACAAACTTGTATTAAGATTAGCCCAAATGGGCATTACAGCGTACATGAACACATAGTGTGACTGAATACATGGGAAATGTAGAAAACAAGCTGAAATAACAATATGAGAACAAATTTAAATAAACATGTGGCTAGTTCCAAGCCAACTGTGGCCCAAATGAGAACAAATTTTGCTTGTTTACTTACTTATTATCTTCTTCGTTTCAATGCCAAAAACTATGTACTACCATGATTGTTTATAAATACAAGCTAAATTTCTAGATGAAAATGAAAGTAGAATGATTTAATTTAACAATTGTTTCTCATTTTGGAACAGGTAAAGAAAATGATGGTGTATGCTGTAGCCCATGCACTCCGGACTTTGGATATGCATGACTGAACCCAATGTAGTTCTCTTCCTCCATTTTATTTCTATACCTTATTTCTATCTGATAGGCGTCGTCTTGATTTCTCCGTACATAGGCTCATAGCCAATCCATCTTACGGAGTACTAGTAAAATCTTAAATGGTCCCCTCCCCCCTCTCTCTTGCTCAATCTGGGGTACTTGTACTTCCTGTCTTATAACATTATTCTAATTTTTGTCCGCTCATCTCTACATAACTCTGGTATTTAGTGCTTTCTCGGCACTGTTGAAGACCTTGTTTTTAGTGACTTGCACAATACTTTTTCACCACAGAAGGCCTATGATGTGTTGACCCTTAATTTGGTAAAACATGTGGTGATATTTTTGTGTTCTCATTTTTTTTGCAGGAAACCCAATGATTGAAATTTGTGTGCTTGTGTACTCAGAAGATTGGTCATTTTTATACCATTCTTGTTAATTTTCAAGTTTAGTTGGCCACTTGCCGTATGACTTTCGAAATGAATCTCAGCGAGTTCTAGATGTTTTTATTCTTACTTATATAATGTAGCAAAGTTGGTATTAGTTCTGACTCCGAAATTGCCATCCAAAAATTGGCAATTTCTGTAATGGGTGATTGCCACCAAATTCATCCAGAGCTCGGGCGGCATGGAGATTCTGTTATCAAACTTCACTTTGATGCGTGTGATTTGTATGCTGCACTGATGCTTTCCCTTTGTCAGACTTCAATGTTTTGTTCTATTTATTTTGTCACCACATTCATACCTTTAGCCCGTGTTTGGTTCAAAGGAGGGATGAAAGCGGAGAGTCAAAGAGTTAAGGGGAGAGAAGAAGGATGGATTTTGATAAAAGAATTGTGTTTGGTTGAAGGAAAAGGAAGCAAGTTTATTAGAGTGAATTTCCCAATTTCCCTTATTTGATAATTTGTTCGCCATAAGTTCGATAATAAATGCAATAGATCTAAATATTATTAATTGAGTTCAAAAGTCATGGAGTATTATGGGTTTTTTTTTAGTTTTTAATTTTTTCATCAGTTTTTGTCTCTTACGTTAACAACATGCTTCCTCCGAAATACCCCTACTTGGGATTTAAGAGTTTGAGAAATGTCAAGTACCTTGTGGTCTGATGACATATTTGCTAATCTTCTAAAGAGAAGTCGAAAGTTCTAGTCTCATCCTTGATTGGGAATATTTCATTTTTTTTAGAAAGTCGAAGATTTTGATAACAAGAGCACATATATAATAGGTTTTGAATATTGTAGATTTTTTTTTAAGTTTTTGATTTTATAACTTTTTAATTCTCAAATTTTCGAATTTTAAAATTTTGTAACTTTTTGTTTTTAAATTTTCTAGTTTTAGATTTTTAAAATTTTCATCTTTTCGCAGATTCCAACATTTTTGTCCATTCTCGGTGGAGAAAATGAGGAACAGGTTTATCCGTTAGTTTTTGTCTCTTACGCTAACAACATGCCTCCCTCCTCTGAAATACCCCCTACTTGGGGATTAAGAATTTGAGAAATGTAAAGTATCTTGTGGTTTGATGACATATCTGTTGATCTCCTAAAGAGAAGTCAAAAGTTCTAGTCTCATCTCAATCTAGTCATGGACCCGGGCCGGTTCCGGTTCCGGGCCGGGCCCGGCCGGGCTTTTTTTTGGGGAAGGAAGGCCCGGGACCGGCCCGGTAGCCACCGGGTCCGGTCCGGGTCCGGACCGGGCCGGGCCTCCGGTTCGGTCATTTTTTTTTTTTTTGCTTTCCTAACCCCCCCCCCTCACCCCCCCACCCCCCAAACCCCCAAACCCCTCCTAACCATCAAGCCCAACCCGGCTAACACCAAAAAATGAAAAAAAAATAAATAAAAAAAAATCAATTCGGCCCGGGCCCGACCCGGCCGGGCCGGTTCGCCAAATACAAGGCCCGAGCCCGGACCTGCCCCCCCACCGGGCCTAGGCCCGACCCGGACCCGGACCCGGACCCGAGAACCGGGCCGGTTCTGGGCCCGCACAGTGGCGGGCCGGGCCGGTCCCGGGCCGGGCGGCCCGAACCGTGTCCATGACTATCTCAATCAAGGAGATTAGTATTAACAAGAACACATACTATAATAGGTTTTGAAGAAAATTTTTCAATTTTTTAGAAAGTAGAAGATTTTGATAACCGTCAACCCCCCACCCCCGCCCGCCCCGGCCTTTCCCCTTATTTCTTCCAAATAAGATCCCGCTGGCAACCCTATTTTTTTAGTTTATAGTCAACTTTCTTATCAAATAGGTATAATTTTTAATTTCTCGAATTGAGTTGTGTATGATAAGAAAAAGCAAGAAGTTTCTTTTTTGATTGTATTGGCTGAAGTAAGTGTAGAGGATCATTATAGTTATTTTTTCAAATATTATGTTTTGATCAATAAAACATATACTCCAACTAGAATTTCATAAATTTCATAATGTTAAATAATAAAAAAAAAAATATATGTAATTATGACCGAGTTAAAACTATTTACCAAAATACTGCTGGAATAAATTCTAGTTAACCATAATCGCCAACTAATTTGGCGGCTTATGCTTAAATTCGTAACTCACACACGCACGCAACACACTAAAAAGAGGTGACCAATAGAAATAGTTCACGGACCCAACTTTAAAAAATCCCTCTTTTTTGAAATGGTTATAAGTTTTTATTATTTATAATCCGATTTTCATAAAAAGTATATCAAAATTCATAACTTTTTATTACCTTTCATATGACACCAATATTCAATATATAAAATCAAAAAAATACTCAAGATACAACGAGTGGAGGTTTTTTAGGCTATAAACTTTTTTAAATAGATCAATGTCCTAAAATCAAGATCTCATAATTTCTTAGAGCCCGTTTGGTAACTCTGAAATTGACTGAGTTGGTCGATTGCGCTAGAGTGTAAGAAGTTTTGGATAAAGTGCCTGGATTGACTGATTTTGAGCCTGTTTGATGAATCTGTGTTTAGCTTATTAGACTTATCAGACAACTTTTTAACCAAACACGTAACTTTTGATGTCGTGCGCTGAATTGTGTAATAATAAGAAAAAGTAAGGTTGTAGTTACTTTTCTGGTAGTATTGGCCGAAATTACAGTAGATGACCATTTTAGCTATTTTCATATAATTTTTTCTTTATTTTATTAATAAAATACGGAGTATATTTTAAATATTTTGTCACAGATCAGTAGAATCAGACAATACAATCACTTCAGCCGAAACTTCATAAATTTCAGTGTTACTAAACAGTCTCTTTGGTTGATTTATGACAAAATTATACGGAGCATATAAATTATTTTTTATTATTAAGGGCCTTAAGGTAACTAAAAATTATATGAAGAAATAGTGAAAATGGTCTTCTATAGTAACTGCATTCAATACAACCAAAAAAACAACTTCAAATTTAATTTTTCTTATTATTACACAATTTCAGTTAATTATTTAAACTAGACCCATCTGATCTAGTTTAAACTTGACACTTTTGACCAATAAATAAAATAACCCGCAATTAGAACATGAAATTGCGGTATACAATCGCGCGTTCTAATTTTAGAACATGAATTTATTAAAAAGTTTTTAACCTAAAAAACAACATTACCCATCAAATCTTCAGATTTAATTTTATTTTTTTATATATTTAATATTGGTGTCAAAAGTTTTTTCTAAAAGGATTTTTTTATTTATTGACATTAAGAGCCTACTTGATGACTCTTTTTTCGAATTATCGGGTTTATTGGCTATTTTTCATCAAATATGTAACTTTTGATTTCGTACGTTGAATTGTGTAATAATAAGAAAAATTCAGGTTGAAGTTACTATTTTTAACGAGTTGAAGTTATTTTTGTAATCGCATTGACTGAAGGTACTGTAGAGGTCCAGTTTAACTATTTTTTCATATAATTATTATTTACCTTAATAATAAAATTATTTTTTTCCAAAAACATATATTTTATATACTCCATATAATTTTTTTCATAAATCAACAATATCAGCCAATCCAGACACTTAATCCAGAACTTAATAAATTTTAGGTAATCGGCTGATTCAGTCAAATTCAGTGTTACCAAACGGGCTCTAGAAAATTATGAGATCTTAATTTTAGAACATTCATTTACTTAAAAATGTTTATAGCCTAAAAAACCTTCACTCATTGTATCTTGAGATTTTTTTTGATTTTATATATTGAATATTGGTGTCATATGAAATGTAATAAAAAGTTATGAATTTTGATATACTTTTTATGAAAATCGGATTATAAATAAAAAAAAACTTATAACCATTTTAAAAAAAGAGGTTTTTTTTTAAAGTTGAATCCGTGAACTATTTCTATTGGTCACCTCCTTTTTAATGTGTGCGTGCGTGAGTTACGAATTTAAGAATAAGTCGCCAACTGAATTGGCGACTCTGATTACCTTGAATTTATTCCAGCAGTATTTTGATAAATAATTCTAACTCAGTCCTAATTTCGTATGTATATTTTTATTTAGCAATATTTTGGAAAAAAACTCTATCTTAGATCTACGCACACCACACAAAGTAAAATAGTAAAATAATAAAATTACTAAGGAATACATATCTCAAGTAGAGTGCTTCAACTTTCAAACAAATTAATCATAAAAAAACAAATCAAACATATTATTTCCTGAAAAATATTACTTACAAACACTCTAGAATCAAAACAATATTCTTCTTTCTTAATTTAAACTAGTACGATACCCGTGCATCCGCACGGGTTGTAACTATTTTGTATGTCAATTATAATTCATTGTAAATTAGTTTCTTTACATATAAAACAAAGTCTTTCAATGTTTAAAACAAAAAATATGGCACAATCACACTTCACATTACTATATAAATGTGAAGTTTCAGTAAGAATGAAACAATAAATTAAGAACCACGGTTTAAATACAATCTTTATCAAATGATGATAAATAGAGATTCAAAAAGGTGAAGAACCTACTTTGGAGAGCTATTTGATAAATTAAAAAGAAAACAAATAGAAATAGTTGATCACAAAATGGTATGTCGATTTCGCCGAGCAACTTGTGGTTTGATGACATCACATTTTGAAACTCATTCCATTAAAAGGGTTTTACCGAACATATATAGTATAATATGTGATAATGTACACACAAAAAACAGTTGACCACAAAAGAAAATTACTCCATTTGAGGTTATAAACTATTCACAAAAGGAATTACTTTTCTTTAACCCGGAAGGCAAACCACCAAAATCAGTGGGGCAAATGCCGGGGAACATTCACAAAAGGAATTACATATAGATGAAATGGACCATTATTTTGATTACTATAATAATAAAGTTAAAAATTTATACTTTATGAAAGTATTTTTAAAAAGAACACTTTTATATTATAAATAACTTCCAATAAAATATATATTTGTTCAAAGTTTAAAGATGTCAAAGTTTTTCGGGACAGTAGTAGGAAAGTGTTAGACTATTTTATTACATTTATACTCTCAACTCCTCTCCAATGTGTGTTAGTGCCATTTATACTCTCAACTCCTCTCCAATGTGGTGTTAGTGCCGACTTTCCTGGTTTGCTTTCATTTTCTCAAGCTTTCTTTTGCGTTCAAATCTTTGACACTCACCAGTCCACCTATGTATGGCATACTTTCTCGGGAGTCGGGACAGACGACAGGTCCTACCATGTCATCCTGACAGGGTCATTACTCTTAAAGAAATTATTATGTTTTAATTCTACTTGGGGAATATTCTCTAACCACAAAATATTTGACTACATTAAAACCTCCAAATAAATGAAAGAAGTCCTTGTGAAACAAAGGTAAAATAAACATTTCTTTTGTTTAGATATAGACCAATTTACTTATAATGAAAACTGGGATGAGATTTGAACTTATGACATTCTTGAACGATGATAAAATCAATCAAATGCAACTTAAAAGTAATCGAAATTTATATAATGAAATATTTATTGGTAATTCCAAATATTTTACAAACTGATATAAAAAAAACTAA